ATGACTCCATCATACAACAGTTAGTATATTATTAGCATAGAACTATATAACATGAAACCGGTGGAAATGAAAAATGATATTTCAAAAAGAATGGGAATATATTAGAAAGCAAATGGAAAGGTTGAATGATGTTAAACGTGAACAAATTAATTCGGGGCTCATGAATTTTAAACAAGGGGATAAAGTTTTGATTCATCTCGATTATGGAAAAACTGATAAATCAATGACAAAAAGAAGACGAAGATTTGACACAATAGCTGAATTTGTTAGATATATTAACGGCAATGTATTAGTTGAAGTTGACAATAAATTAATAGAAATTCCGATTTATTTTATTACTCCATTATATTTAAACAATATTTAATTTTTTTATTTCGTAAGAAATGAGTGACAATGAATATAAAAAGAAACTAAACAGAATTAAATCAAAAATATGCTATTACAAAAAGAAGCCACAATGCGGTGGGGCTGAAAACGATAAAGAGAGGAAAGAAATAATCGAAAAATTAGAAACTTACCGTTCAATCCTTAAACTGAGTGAAGCAAAAATAAAAGAATTTAATAGAATAAATAAATTGATTGGAAGAGATGAATTTAATAAAGATGAATTTTTAAACCCAATCCAAATTTAATTTTTATTTCTCTTCCCGAACCCTTCTAGGTTCTTCTCGGTTTTCGTGGTAAATTTTGAGCTTGTGGGGTATCCATTTATATAAAAATAAAATTTTGTTATCAGTTATTTTATCGTTAATGGTTTCAGGTTATTCAATAATTAATTATTTTTGAAGAACTGAAGGTGTCACTACGTCACCATGTGTCACTCGGTTAATTAACTTCTCTGAAAAAATGAGACAACATGACATTTTGACAACACATCCGGGACCATTAGAGCGGGAGTACTGGAAAGATAAAAACATGCCAGAAAGAATAAGAAAGTTCTTCTAAACTTTTTTGTTGGATGTAAATCAGACATGAACGAGAACAGTCATGATATCATTAATGGTACCATTTATTTTAACATAAATGACCTAAATTTATGAATTTTCATGTATTTTCTCAAGATAGAAAAATAACGCTAATTTTTTTTCTAACAAATTTTTTTATCTTGTATGTAAGAACAGAAATGTCGGTCGAAGCAAAAACATTCACGAACAAATCTAATGGCGAAACATTCACAAAAGGCACTTATAATGGTATTGAAGTCTTACGTAGAGACAAGGATGGTTACATTAATGCAACAAAGATGGCAAGAGAAGCGGGAAGGTTAAACCATTTAAACAGATTTCTCAATAGTACTAAAATGCAGGAAATTCTTGAGTTTTGGATGAACGAATACGGTCAAGCCAAAAGTGGCTCGACCTCAAAACAAGCATTTTATGAGCTTACAAAGGGTGTCATGAATGAATTCAAAGGTATTTACATACATCCTGACCTCGTTCATTTTGTTGCTGAATGGTGCTCTGTAAAGTATGCATTTTATGTCAAAGATATTATGGACTCCATAGACAAGAAAGTTCATGAGAAATTAGATGAAGAAGAACTCGAAGATACAGTAGAGAATGCTAAACCTTTGTTCGAACAAGAAGTTAGAAAAATGTGCGAAAAACAATTAGAACATGAACGTGAGATATGTTATGGTTATAGAGATTCTCCATACGAACTAGACCAATGGGAACAAGAAGATTTAAAGAGAGAATTTAGAGAATATGAACTCGCTAAGATAGCATTAGAAACTGCAGAAAGAAGTTAAAAGTTTGGGGTCGTTTTGTACAAAAATATTGTGAGTAAATGAACCATTTATTTTTGTCATAAACGACCAAAAATATATTTTTCGTTAATGGTTTCAGGTTATTCAATAATTAATTATTTTTGAAGAACTGAAGGTGTCACTACGTCACCATGTGTCACTCGGTTAATTAACTTCTCTGAAAAAATGAGACAACATGACATTTTGACAACACAGCAGGATTAATGCAAAAAATAAATTCCAATCATACTTTATAAAGCTTCATTTACAGGTATTTCATCGTCAGTAAATGAATCCTCATTATCGTTTGGTTCAACCTGTTTATATAATCCTTTCATTTTCTTCTTTCAAAACATAACACCATGTTTGTTTACCATCTATTCTTCTCTGTTTCTTATCACATTTATCCTTAATGCTCATTTGAAAGTTTTTGTCTTTCATGTCTGATGGTTTGCAGAATAGAGCATTTTTACACGTCATACCTGCACACAATTCATCATAATGTGGTATTTATCCATACATCTAAAGGATTTGTTGATAATTCAATTAAATCTTGTTTGGCTTCAGTCATCGGTATGATTCGTACATTAAATGATGAAAGGTCGTAATTGATAAATATGTTAAAAGGTTATCATAAAATTCCTTTGTGCATGAATCCATTAAATTCTTGAAGTAATCAAATTGACCCTTGAATTTACCATTAACTCTTAAAACTACGTATCTTCTGTCTCCAACTTCAATTTGACAGGTAAACGTTATTAGTTACGAAAATGAAAGTTTGCAACGTTCTGAGCAGTTCTTCTGGTTGATTCTTTTCATTAATTCTTATCTCATTATCCGTATAATTGATTTCAAAGCGTTGAAGTTTGCGAGTCTGTCTTCACCAACATTCTCTTGAGTTCATTAAGTACAAGAAACATTTTATTCTCAACTACTGAATTGAAATTACCCGTTAGCTCACTTATTTCGGTAATGTTTTTACATGAATAACCAGCGAGAAGTTCAGAAATAATGTCTGTAAATCTGTTTTTACCTGTTCCCTGAAGTCCTTTCAAAATAATTGCTGTTTCATTCTTGATTCCAGGATGTTGAATCATTGATGCAATTCAGCCGAGTAGGTATTTATACACTTCATCGTTATTATCACAAATGGCTTCTTTAATGAAATTCATAAACATCTCAATTTTTGAGTAATCTGGTTTTTCGAGAACGTTGTATTTATAACCCTGAAACGTTGAGAAAACATCTGGAGAATCAGATTTAAAGCAAACACCCTTACGGTTAATGAGACAATTGATTTAATAGTACGTCCCATGCTGTTTATGGTTTTACCTTCTTCTTTAAATAATTTAATCATTTTGAGTGACTCTTTCATGTTTGATTGAAGAACGAATGATATTTGATTCATTTTGTCGTGTATGTTGTAATCTTTCTGAATGAAGTATTTATTTCCACAATCTACAAAACGGATTACACGTGATAAAATCCTCAATTACTTCAGAACTGTTTTTATACTGATGATTTTCAGCCTTGCGTCTAATATCTGTTATCAAAAAGAGTCATCAAGTTTTATATCAAATGTTATTTTTTTGGCTTATGTAATAAAGGTAAAACAAATATTCATCATAATATTCTTTTTGATATAGTTTTTAGAATCTTCACTAAAACAAATGGAGAAGTCATTAATGTGCATATCTACTACGTGCTTTTTCAAATTACTTTTTGCATTTTCTGTTAAACCGCAGAAGTTATAAACGTTATCGTATGCATTAATTAAATGATTAGGTAACGAATTAATTGCTTGAAACAGTGTGAATAATGTAACTTCTTTTTCTAAATTCATGTTTCCACCGTCATTATGTACTTCAAAATCACTGATGCCATCAACTATGCTCTGGGCAAGTTTATCGTTCAATGTTTACATCTTTGTTTTCATTCATGATAGTCTTTATTTCTTCGTTCTTCTGTTCAACTCTTACCTTAATATTCAAATCATTTAATATATCATTCACTGTTCTGGTTATGGTCGAGTCATAACTTCCACGAATGAATGAGTATGTATTGATTGGTTCTGTTGCATTCTTGCGAACTCTTGAATCAGCCATGACTACTAATGAACGCTTTGAATCATCCATAGAAGTCATTATATCAATATCATAATCATTGCAGGAATAACATTTAATCATCTGTTCGAAACTGCATAGAAGAAATTAAGTGTTGCAATAAATGTGAAGACCTCCTGAAGCGGTTTTAACGATAACATCTTTATCCGAAAGTTTTGATAAAATATCTTTTCTAACTGTTTCTTTAAGTTCATCATTGTACGATTTATTGATATCAACATCTATAATCGTTAAATTTGAAATTTTATTTACTAATAAAGCCATACCAGTTTTCCTTCCTCTTCCTCCATCGTGTTTGAGGTAGTTATGTAAATCAATCTTGTTTTCACCAATTCTTTCGTTGAGGGTTTTAGTTTCTGCCACAACTAATTCCTCAGCTAATGAATCAATAACTTGTTCATCAGAAACGATATAGTTGCTGTTGTTTGTTGCTGTCATTTATATAGGAATAAAAAAATAAAAATAATTTTAAAACTAACTTTATTTTTGGGCTGCATCAAATTTCCTGTGTTGTTGTCTAAATGTCATGTTGTCTCATTTTTTCAGAGAAGTTAATTAACCTGGTGACATGGTGACGTAGTGACACCTTCAGTTCTTCAAAAATAATTCATAAATACCTTCCTCCTGTGTTGTTGTCAAAATGTCATGTTGTCTCATTTTTTCAGAGAAGTTAATTAACCTGGTAGCACATGGTAACATGGTAGCACCTTCAGTTCTTCAAAAATAATTCATAAATACCTTCCTCCTGTGTTGTTGTCTAAATGTCATGTTGTCATCATTTTTTAATGAAGTTAATTAACCTGGTGACATGGTGACGTAGTGACACCTTCAGTTCTTCAAAAATAATTCATAAATACCTTCCTCCTGTTGTGTTGTCAAAATGTCATGTTGTCATCATTTTTTAATGAAGTTAATTAACCTGGTGACACATGGTGACGTGGTGACACCTTCAGTTCTTCAAAAATAATTAATTATTGAATAACCTAAAACATGAGACTTTGTCTCCGGACTCTTTGAGTCACTTAACGATAAAATATATTTCCGCAGTTCATTACCTAATTAATTACAGACATAAAATATATTTAGTTCATTCGGTAAGCCTTGACCCAAAGGTCTGGGCTCAAGCGCGTTTAATGAATGCGGTACCATGCGAATACAGTCACAAATGGTGGCATATAATCTTTACCCAAGCCTGTTGGATTTGTTGTGAAAGTATGGACATGATTTCCTCCTGGTTCAGTTGGTCGAAAAGTCTTTTTTGCTGAATGGTTATAATCTGGAGATAAAACATCATTGCCAGCTTCATATTCTGAGTTGTATAATGGGTGGTCTCTTAATGAGTGGCTATGGTCACCAGAAAAGTTTGTAGTTCCTGTATGAGTGTGCGGTGGAAGGTTTGCTTCTTTAATTTTCTTCGAACCTCCTGTTTGCTTTGAATATCTAGCACAGTATAAGAATTTATCTACAATCTGCTTCCACGTACCAAAACCTAAAACACTTGCTGGATTTGTTGAGTTCATTGACGTATAAATAGAACCAACAGGATATAATGTTTGAAGTATTTCATTTTTCATGCTTGTAATCACATCATTTACTTCCGACTTCTTTGCATAATTTTCATCAACATATGTTTTATCTGCTTTAAGGTCTAAACATCCTGAAACCCATTCTGTATCAGCTTTAACTTTAAAAGTCTCAAATGTCCATTCATGATACCATTCAACCTTTTCTTTAATTTCATTATCTTTTTCATCAACACAAACCAAATTTGCCTTCTTATTTAATTCACTATCCACATATTCCTTATCCACCTTCTTCATTAACTCATTTAGGAAACCTTCTATGAATTCCTCATTTAAATTAAATCTTCCAATCTTCAAAACTTTAGGAAATGCATTTAATGCGTAATATCTCTGTTCTTCTGGTGGAATTGATGTTATATCATCCGTTATTCCTTTAATTTTTGAATTCATAAATAAAATTTCTTTTATATTTGATATCACTGCACCACCTTTGCAAACGAATTCGAAATGTTCATTTTTCAATACTATCTCCAAATCTCCATATTTCAACCTTTGCGTTTGTTCTGCCGTCTTTGAATTATATGCATATATGGCGTATGTAATGGTCTGAAGGACCTGGGCGCTTTGTGCCTTAAGTTGCTGTTGTTTAATCATTTATTATGATTTAAAAATAAATATTTAATCTGTTATCTCATCAGCTATTTTTCTATTTGAAATTGCCATAATATTTCATTCATGAATTCTAAATCACAATCAAATAGGTCAGTTATTCTAAATTTAATATTTGATAAATCTTTTGAATGAAGAATAAATGAATTCCCGGATAATTGAAACGGATATGATAAAGAAAATGTGTTTAAGTTGATGTATAAAATGTTTTGTATTGATGGGTAAGAGTTAGGGTCTAATGTTTGATGTGAAAATCTCATTGGGGTATTAACTTTATCACATTTGATTAAAATGAAATTGGAACCAGTGTCAGAATACAAAACATCCCCAACATCTTTTTCAAAATTTAATATCCCCAACAATGAACGAAGATGAGGAGTACAAAATTTAATTTTCAGCGGAAATTTAATAAGGTTATTTATTTCATCAAGTTCAAAAAGTTTATCGGGTTTTGATTTAAAATTTTCTTCATACCATACGATAAATGATTCATTTAAATAACTTAAAATCATGTTAATATCCCATTTCGCTATCACATTATTTATATACATATCATACGTTTTTTCATGGTCATCTTTAATAAATGATATATAATCTGAAGGGTCTAAAAGAATGGGATTAAATTTACCACTCACAGAAACGAGAGTAACATTATAAATTCCGCTAACTGTTAAATTTAATTCACAGCTATTATTCGAAATAATATTGATAATTGACATTTTTATTACGATTAAAAATATGGTAAAGCGTTATTTTCCAGTGATAAATAAAACTAGAATAAGATTACCTCAAGAATTCATAAATTCAACGAATAAGAAATTCATTCATGTTATAAATTTTAGTGTTTTCAGAAAATATGAGTCATGTCATATTCATCAACAGGTTATATTTCACTTCATTCAAATTTAGTTCAATCAAACCCATATAATGACCATTTCATAAGATTTTCAGATGGTATTAAAAATGTAATTGATAGATTAAAATATGAACAGATTGACAATATCGAATTTTTGGAATTTTGGTTTAAATATCCCGATGGAAAAAAGATTGAAGTTAAAGATAAAGCTGATACTATAACAAAAACAATTACAATGACCGATCCGGATAGTGGGGAACAAAAAGAAATAAAACAAACGATAGAAACTGGTGAAAGGTCAATTATTATTGATTATGATTCAAAGGATTATTATTCGATAATGTTAATGCTTGAATATTAAATAGCCTTAACAAAGAATTTTTCAAGTGATATTTTATATTCATCAACTATTTTATTATAAATATCATTATATGTTAAATGAAGTTCAGTTGTTGTTCCGTTCTTTGATATCTTAATTGTGCTAATATCCTTTATAGGATTTATTTTTGCAACTGTTCCGCAGCATGAAACCTCATCATCTATGAAAAATTGAATCTTAACGTCTGAATCTTGAACATCACAAAGAATGGCGATAATGTGAATTAATGATTCATAAGGTAAAATAATTAAACCAGATTGGTCAATTAAATTTATTATTGAATCATAATTATTAATTATTATATCACGGTAAATTTTCATTAATTCAGAATTAATGTCTATTTTATATGGGTTCTCGATGTTTGATGAAAGAGGTGGGGGTATGTTGGATAAGTGGGAATTTCAACAGGTTCTTTACCGGGTTCAGATAAAATGATTGGGTCTCCATCTTCTTTATTTTGCTCCTCCTCCTTTTTCGGTAAGTCACGAGTTAATAAATTTGGTTGAGTTGCTGACCTTGTTAGTTCAGGGCTAACATTAACTTTAACATTTTGAATAATTCGTGATTTATCATCATTTACGTTATAACCAACCGTAATCTCTGCTTTTGCGTTAGTGTTCTTTTGACTAGTGAAACGTCTTCTCATTTATATTCGAATAAAAAAAATATATTTAAACTTTTATTTTGCTGGAACTTTTGAATCTATTATTCCCTGTATTTGTTCATGAAGTTGATTTTTAGCATTTTCATCGAAATTAATAGACCGAATATATTCATTAATTGCATTCTTATAATCATCTGATTTCTCAAATTTTCTTTTATCTGATTCCTTAACTAAATCATAAGTTAAACCTCGTTGCTGATATAATGGTTTCTTAATTAAATCTTTGAATGCTTGAGATAAAGCACCTGATGCAATTCTTGCTACTATAATTGGTTGGAATTGCTGTTTAAGTTCATCTTTAACATTTGCGAAAACTGGATCGAATAAAGCAACTTTAAAGAATTTCTTAGCTGAAATTTCAGGTCTAATATTTGCATATTGACCATCAAACTGGTTAGAATATCGTGGTAATCCATCCGGTCCCTCTTCAATAGCATTTAATTCTTCATTGAAATAAGAATATGGATTACGACGGTATGAATTAATTGGACCATTTTCACCTTCTCCAATGTATTGTTTAACAGCTTTTCCATTTTCATCAAATTGCATAGGATAACGTTCATTATATGCTTTACGTTTAGGATAATCAGATATAGTTAATTTATAACCATTTATGACTTTAATATTACCTTGACCATCAGTAACGAAAACTTCATTTATACCATCAGGTTTTCCATTTGGACCCGTAATGTCTGCTTCGTGTGCTTCCCAATTTGGACCTTGACGTTTGGCATATGCTTGAGCTTCTGGTAATGTTAAAACGTTTCTCATTTGTTTAACATCTTTTTGAAGACCAGCAACAATATGAACTAATTCTTTCATTCCATCAGGAACTTTCATAGTTCTATTATATGCACCCTTTTTGTTTGTTCCTTGTTTTAATGGAACCTGTAGAAGATTTGCTATTTCTGTCATGTTTAATTATAAATAAAAAATAAAAATTAATTATAAAAAGTTAATCAAATTTAACACTTCCTTTATTTAAATCAACTATTATTTTTCCATGTTCACCTAATTGCTGATATTGTGTGTAAAGTTCATTAATGCTCATTGGTAAATTCACTTGATAAAGCATAACGTTCAACTGTTGACGACTAAACCCACTGAAAATGAAAAGTGTTGATAGATTTGATTTAATGTTTGTGCTTAATGCTTTGAAGTATTGAACAGCCATGAAGAATGAACACTGAATGTGTCGACATTGAGTTAATAACTGATTAAAATATGATTTCTCATTTGTTATTAGTTTTGATTTCACTGCATCATCTAGAAAAATGAGTGAATGCAAAAATTCTCTATCAAAATTTGAAATAGAAAGTGTTTCAAATAATTCATCCCGTTGTTTATCAATAATTTTATCCTCTAATCCTTGCTTCTTGATTGTATTATATAATTCTTTATACATTAAAAAGTTTTTTAAATAATCTTCTGCTTCTTCTTGTGATAAATAAATAATTGGAATTTTGATTAAATGCTTTAAAGATTCAAATGTATCATCTGAAGGTGAACCTGAACGGTTGATATAAATTAACACATGTGAATAGGGGGAAGTGTTAGCAATAATGATAATTTGTTTTAATATCGTTAATGTTTTACCTTTATTTTGTTTACCAATTGCTGCAGTGATTGAATTTAAGTAACATTCAGAATATGGAATTTTCATTAATTTTTCCTTAGATAGAGCATTTCTATTATCACTCAATGCTTCATTAATCATATCATCTACGTATGTATTATATACTCCTGCTAATTCTTCATAAGGGTGGATGAATTTAAATCCATTTAATCAAAAATAAATTTATAATTTTAAACATTTCTATTCATCAATATTTCATCATATGAACTTCTATACTGTGGTGGTGTACCTGTTGGATGATATTTCAAACCTTCGTCCGGTGTCCATGTCCAATATGTAGTCCTAGTAAACCAAACCTGAGGAGGATTTGTCACCTTTGAACAGTAAGTGTCATTTTCACCCTGAATGATTGGATAAGCTTTCACTTGTACTGTAACTTGTGAGTTGAAAGTTTCTAATCCATCAAAGAATATACCCGCTCCATCACGTTGAACTGGAATAGTGCATAAGAATGAAGTTTGGTCTTTCCATGTTCTAGCTAATGGCGTGCCATCATCTGCATTCAGTGGTCTAGTTAATGAGTCCTCGTATTCTTCTGTGCATTCATTCACTCCATCTAAATCAGAAGCTTGAAGCATACGTGTAAAGAATATGTCACCCACTGTGGTCATCGCTTGATCGGGGAAGTTTCTGGAATCTATAGTGACCTGAAGACCTCGAAGCATTGGATTTTCTAAAACTGTTCTTTGCATTGCATTCTTCGGAAATGTTAACACAACATCTGTAACATTATGAAGAGCGTATGAGAAATCTGAGCTAATACCTTCAGGAGTGATGCAACCTCCATTTAGTGAACGAACGTCAATATGTTGAGCTGGAATCATGAATGGATCTTCCTTACTGAATAAACGTGGTATTGCTTTAACTGATTCTTCAATTAAACCGTATCCTGGTGTAATGCATTTATCCTCTAAAACTTCCATCTTTGTGCATGAAATAATAACGTCATCAACTGTTGCGTCAGCAGATGTAGCGGCTAAGCTTGTAATTAATTTGGCAGGAAGTCCGATTTGTTGGAATTTGCGATCATATTTATAAACATGATTCATAATCTTTTCATAATTTTCATCAGTTATCTTTTCATAAACGTAATTTTGTAAATCAGCAACTCTTAACGGGTCAACCTGACAAAATACTAAAGTATCCCTGAAAACATAATATTTAAGAATGATATCACCAAATGATTTAGGATAATCATCGAACGCCTGAAATGCTAACAAATCATTTACCGGAATAATCATATCAAAAGTGACATCAACTTCTTCATTTGCTCTCTTGAAAACTTCTGAAGGGTCAATATATTTACCACATACTGAGTTATCATATTTTTGAACATTATTATATAACGAATGAACAAACTTTTTAACTTTCCTTTCTGATTTTGGTTTATATGTTGCAAATGCGAAAGATTCACGGGCGCAATCCATTTGAAGATAACCGGCATCACCTCTTTCGGTTTCTACTTCTAATTGTTTAAAGCTTTGATTTGATGATTTGTAACCAACGAATAAACGCATGCATTTAAAAGCGGCATCACATGTGAAAGCTTTATTTGAAACTAGAGTTGTTTTAACTTTGCGTTTAATATATGTGTCACCTAATTGGTTCACATCATGAGCCGGATTTGTAATTCTTAAATGAGTTTGTTTATCATCAAAATATGGAGCATCAGAGTCATAGCATGAACTTTCAAGTTCTCTATAATATCTTCTACCGTCATTCTTTGCGAATATTTCATTTATCTTTTCGAATGAATGAAACACATTTCCATTAATCGGTTTAGTGTTTGGCACTAAATAGTTAGTCGTCATTTATTATTAAATAAAAAATCAAAATTAAAAGATGAAAATGAATTTTTAATTTTAATGAAATAATCAACTATGGCTGCAGGTATATTTAAGAAACTGTGGGATAAAGTAAAAAGAGGAGCGCATAAAGTTTGGGAAACATTGAAGAAGGGAGCAAATTGGATATTTAAGAATAAAGAAGCAATTAGTGACGTTGCTGAATCAATAACACCAAAAGCTGCCCCAATAAGAGAAATATTAAATAAAGGAGAAAAAGTTTATCAAAGACTTCAACCGATACTAAGATAAAAATAATTTATTTTTCCACTATCTACCTCCTATTTTATTAAGTATTCCTTCAGCAATTCCACCAATTGCGTTACCTGCTTGTGCTCCCATCGCCGGATTACCTGCTTTAGTACCTAATACTCCACCTATGATAGTTCCTGCCGTTTTCGCTACTGGTGCCAAAAAGTTTGCAATGGGTTTAATAATCTTTTTATGAACCCAACCCGCAGCTTTCTTAATTCCATCCCATAATTTTTTAAAGAATCCTGCCGCCATTTCTGATTTAATATTAATTAAAAAATATATTTCATCACTTATATTCTAATTTTTATTTAATGATAAATGAAACCAATTTTAAAAATAAATGAAACAGGGGAGGAAGAAATAAATGAAAGTGAAAATGTTCAACAAAAAATAAACGTTGTTAAACCAATTACTGAAATAAAAATTTTTTCATCTGTTGAAGAATTTAATGACTATTATGCTAATAATAAAAAATTATTTGAAGAATTGACAACATGTAAATTGAATAAAATGTTTAAAGTTGATGGATTCAAAATTTCAAAAATAAAAGGAGTGGTTAGTTTGAAATCTATTCCTCAATCAAGAATCACCTCATTAATGAAAATTGATGATTTAACAAAAAGAATAGAAGAGATTGAAGAAAGAATAAATCAAATAATTGATATCATAAATTCAAATAATCATTAATTTTTTAAAGTTCAATGTTGATTCTGAGACATGAATTTTAAAAGTTTATTTTTTATTCATGAAAATAATTATTTCTAATTTCTTTTACTCTCTCGTACATACTAGATTTGAAGAATTCAGAACTTTTACCATAATCTCCTAAATGTTTTCTTATCCCTAACGTGTGCCAGTTATTATATGAAACTGTATAAACTTTATCTTTATCTTTGCATCTTTCATCACTTCCAATATATTTATATCTCAGTTTTGATTTAGCATTTTCATATTCATTAACGTTTAATAATTCACAGTCTTCCTTTTTAAATATATGTTTTATGTATTCAGGATTTAATACTCTACGTTTATATGCTCCTAACTTAGTTCTAAAGGTTTTTCTACAAAATTTAGGAATTCCATCCTCTTTAATGTCATCAATGATTTCCATTTCATTATTTTCAATTTCTTCTTCTCGTTTATGAGGTCTTTGATTATGACTCCATTGATTCCATGAAATTAAATATTCTTTATCATTATATTTATACCTCATTAGCTTATTTTGGCTTTCATATTCATTTAATAATTCACAATCTTCATTTTTAAATTGAAGTTTAACCCATTCAGGATTTAAACAATGTTTAATTAATCGCGGAATATCTGACATCATCTATATATAGCTTCTTTTATAAAAGATAAAAAATAAATTATTTTAAAATTAATGTTAATTTTTTTAATGTGTTAGTATATAATATTTATTACTAATTTATTTAATAATGTCGCGCTTTCTTACGAATTCATGACTTAAAAAACGTAAGAAAAAATTTTTATATCATCTATATATAGAAGATGTGAAAATATACCTTCATCTATATATAGACGTAACAAAAAAAGTCACACAACCCTTCCTATCCTACTACTGAGAAATTTGAAACAAAGTTTCAAATTTCTGCCTTGCTGTTATAGAAAAAGATTTCTTGAGAGGAGTTCTGAATAGAAATGAATGAGAATCAAAATTGAATTGAAAAATTGCGCGTTTATTATTTCAGAACTCGATGAGTTCCGTTTTCCAAAAACTCATGGATAACGCTCCATATCCAATCAACTTTTACAAATTTTGTAAGCCAACAGATCCTTCAATAAAGCAATCCTGTGAAGCTAACTATTATCAAACAGGATATGCTGCAAAATTAATTCACTCTGTTTTAAAGAATAGTGGGTTCAAAAAAGTTGAAGATTTAGAAGAAGCTAATCTTATAGTTGGAGGAAAACTTCAAAGTGAAGGCGAAGAATGTAAACATTCTTATCAAAGAACAAATCATTACGAAAATACATTTTCTTTGGGATCCAAAGCTGGATACCATCATGCAATGAGAAGACTTGAAGCAAGAATTAAAGAAATGCCATCATTTTATCCAGAAACCTACCTTTTACCAGCCGAAAGAGATCAAATGCTTAAGGCATTCCCATCTTCTCCATTATGGATTCAAAAACCAGCAGGTGGATCACGTGGAAATGGAATCTCTGTTATTGACAAACCTCCTGCTGAAGGCTTCAAAAAAGTTGTTATACAGAAATATCTTGACCATCCACTACTTATCAATGGCCTTAAATTCGACTTAAGATTTTACGTTGCCATTACATCACTCATTCCACTTAAGATCTATGTATTTAATAACGGCCTTGTAAGGCTTGCAACAGAGCCATACGAAGAGAATCATGATAAAATTGGAAATAAGTCTGTGCATCTCACAAACTTTTCAATTAACAAAGAAAATGAGAACTTCCATGCTACCAATGATATCTCAGAAGATGGGAAAGGTAATAAATGGTCTCATGTTCCATTTTGGCCTTGGATGAAGGAACATGGTTTTAATGTTGATGAAATTCGTCATAAGATTGAAGATGCTTTTGTCACAACTATCATGGCATCTCGCAGTGTTTTTTGTCAGCAAGAGAGACTCCGTGAGTCATTTGAACTTTTCGGATTTGATGTAATTTTATCTCAAACAGGGGACATTCATATTCTTGAAGTAAATGTATCTCCTGCACTTGGAACATCATCCAACTTAGATATGTTCATCAAAGCTCCTCTCGTTAAAGATTTATTCAACATTGCTTTAGTTCCAGAGCCATCTCCTGAAGAAGAATTCATCGAACAGCTTATGCAAGAAAGAAATGATGAGAAATCTTGCTCAGCGATTGCGATTTGCGAATATGAAGAAACACTTCGCAGACTTGGCGGATTTACTTGCATCTACCCAACAGTAGAAAGACTAGAAACACATAAGAAATACCTTGGATATCCAGAATTTGAAGATGAAGCCCTGGCCAAATGGATTAATTCAAATGATGAACAAAAGGAAGCTTATCTAAGGGAACTTCTTACTCATCTTTATTCTGTTTGTTCAAAGCATTTTAATGAGTAAAAAACTGTATGAAATTTTTGTTTGAAAATTTCAAATTTTTCAAATTTATTCAATCTTTGATTTATATGAACATTATGTAATGAACTATTAATAGCATTGGAAAATTAAGCATTATCAGTGTTTAAATATAAAAAAAATCAAGAAAAATATAATTCAATAAAATAATTACTTGGAATTTAGATGATATAAGTTTTATACAGTTTTACAAAGTTGTAGATAATATGAAAACAAACATCAAATTTTACTCAAACTTTGTGCGTCGTGGAGCTCTTTCGCTTTCTTGTGGTTCTTGTTTCTTGCCTCCAAAAATTAAAGAAACAATCAAAACGGAACCGTTCTTGAACAAGTTTCCAATGAATGTTGGTATTTCTTTGATTTGCTTATAGTAATTCTTGTAAAATTTGGCTGTAAGCTTGATTGTAAGCTGTCTAATGTAATATCCATTGTTCTTTGTCAAGATGAATGTAACAATTAAGTTGATAACGTGGAAAGCAATTCTATCACCAAGAATCCAATCCAAAAGCTTAAATATCATAACAAGGAATGGAGCTGTTATCCAGTAGTAACCCCATTTGATGCGAAGGCCATTAGCTCTTTGATCTTCTTGTTCTATAACAACAGAATAAGTTTTGAGAGCTGGATAAGCAATGACCATTATAAGCCATGCAAGTTTAAAGATGATGAGATAAGAAATAGTTTGAACGTCCTGTCTTGGAGTTTGTTTGATGGCAGCAATATTTACGTCGCTCATAATAATTTTTTTTTATTTTTACATGGCTAAAAAAAAACACTTCGGAGGCCTCGGGCCCTGTTGTAATGTACCACGGTCTCATGTTTCTCTTGGAAGGAATCACACTTCAGTTTATACTGTTAAAAAAAAATTCTTTTGCATTTTTGTTACCTACTCGGTTTTAAGCCAGGGCATTGACTATCACTCCACAATAATGAGGATATTTCTATTGAAATATTTGAAATCCAGACCTCAATTATGAGATTGGTGGAAAATTTTTTGTTTAGTAATCATAAGCTATTGTTTTTCAGCTCTTTTAGTGAATATTGCAAAAAACACTTGAAATGATTCAAAACAAGCAAACAAACATTTTTATTTAACATCATTTATCATTTCTAACAAAGAAAGTGAGATAAAATTGGTTGTGTCATCATCTCTATCAGCAGCATCTTCTATGAATTGGTATAATTCATCAGAAATACATGTTTTCAAATCAACTTTTGGATTAGTAATTTTTTCTGATTCAAACCATCGCTGCAATACTTCAAGTAAACTTTTAACGATTTCTGGATCATCAGTTTGAACAAATGCAGTGAGAACATCGTTCAAATTTATTTTTGAAGTTAAATTCTGTAAATCTGATTGTGTTGGCAATTGTAATATGGTTGTGGTTATAAATAGACAATACTCTCTCTTAACTTCATATCTTGAAAGTGTTATAACTGACTGATTTTTGATTAGAAAATCTGATAAGAAATTTGAATCAACTACAACTCTTTTGTTGAGAACAAGTTCATTAACGCACCATAAGCATGCTTTTACTACTTGTAAATCATTAGCTTTATGGTAGTTTAATATAGATTTAAACAAATTAAAGTCAATTCCATCAATTATTCTCTTTTTAACCATAAATCCGATGAAAAGTAATGATTGGTATATAACACTTGGACATGATATGCCACTTTTGACCTCATTAATGATAAAACCTGAAATTTCATTGACATTTTGTTTAAATCCAGCTAATTGGTCATCTTTAGCCATCTTTCTGAGAAAACTTAGTATAAGACAAGTAGAATCTATATCTTTTTTCTGTAAAATATCAAATAAAAAAGAAAAAGCATGTTTCATGAAGGATCTATCGGTAATAAATGATTTCATTGTGTTTAATATATAGCGTGCAACTAAGTTTAAGTTAGGAAATTCTGATAATAGGCCTGAAATTAAACTAAATGGTAAAATCTGAAAAGCTCTTCTTGAAAACACTCCTCCGTAGCTTGAAATGTTGTTTAAAAGGGCTAAAACATCTATGAGTTTATCATGATTTGAAATTAATTGACGACAAATTGGACATATACCTTGTTCAAAGATAAGTAAAGCGTAATCTTCAGAAATACTTGCAATTTGTATAATAGTATTGAATGCAGATTGACTTATATGTTCATTGCTATCATTAATTAAATCAATCAAAAGATTTAAGACGTGTGAATCTTCTATTTGACTTATTTCTTCAAATGAGTTGTTAAAATTGTGATTTTTAATTGAATTGATTGATTCTATTCGAAATGGTTCGGAATTTTCTGAATTGAAGAGATTTTCTATCTTTTCACGAAGTTCAATGTTAGAATTATTGTTAATTCTAGTATAATTATCTACTCCTATCTTTGTTTGGTCATCTGAATGATACTTATAGTCAATCAAATCAGGAAGACTCTCCATAAACTAAAATGATTAACAACAAATATGCCAACAATAAAATATAATATGTATTAAATTTAAAAATCAACATTAAAGAATCTCAGTAACAATAATCATAAGAATTTTAATATTAATGAAGATTTTACTGACTAAGCATTGCACATTCTCAAAGTTTGTATAAATAGCTATTCTAACACAATTTGGTCTGTTAGTCAAAAAAAATTATAAAATTTATAAAGAGTTGAGATACTTTAAAATACATGTTATTATAATTTAAAACAAACAAAATTAAATAGATTTATTATATAAAATAAAAGAACAACTTGCAAAAATAAAATAAATTAGTTTTGCTTTCACCAGAATGGTCGCCATGTTGAGTGTTGTTTAGCCAGACTATATTTGTTAGTAGCAGCGTCAATCAACCGCTGTACGTATGATTCAGGTGTTTCCTTTTGCGAGTACAAAACATCGAAAACATTATCTAAAATTTCTCTTTTTGTCTCAAACGAAGGCTGACCAATGAAAGGCAAAGGTGGTTCTTCCGCATATAAATAAAAAGATGGTAATATCAAATAAGAAAAATCAGAAAAGATAGAATGTATCTTCACGAAATTTGGTATAAAAGAAGTGTTCAAACCTCCAATTCCTAATGCAGAAACTAACATTGGAGTCAATCTGAAAGGAACTTCATCAGTGAACTGAATCAATTTCAATCCTCCTTTGAAAGCCAGACTGAAATCTATATGAGTTATTTCACCTGTCTTAGAGTTAACTAATATATTAGATGGACAACGGCCTCCCAACCAAACTAAAGATCCAACACAACTTGTATAAGACAAGCTCGAAGAGAAACCTTCGCATTTTTCATACCATTCATCACTGGAACTACTCATTGCCCATAAAGCCTTTCTTAAATCATCTTCACGTGTTGGAATCTCGTTGAGGGCTTCAAGTCTTTGTATTGGTCTTAGTTGATCAACTCTTTGTGTTGTAAGATTTGAGATATCTCTAATTTCAATGAGATGATCAACTTGTATTTGTTGTCTGTATTTAGTGATGACTTGTTCAAGGAATTGTGAATCTCTGTAATATTGTATCAATGATATATTATGAGAAATCTGTATCAAATTGTTGATTGTCAATGGGAATTCAGCTGAATTTCCTAAAGCTCTTCTTAAAAACAGTTTAATTAGCATCTGGAACTGTGTTGCTCTTGCATTAAATATTGTTGAATCTTGACCTCTTATTAGGAAATTATATTCGTTTCCATCTTTTCCTAATAATGTTATCTGCCTCGGCCTTGTTTTAACAGGAATAACTATCAAATCATCTTTAACTAGTGCAAGTCCTTTTGATGATGACATTCCTGGAATAATCAATGATGAATTCTCAAAGTTTGGAGCGTTATTCATTACATCACTTAATCTAATTTTCTCCAATCTTCTCACGAAGTCTTGGCAATTGGATGCAATCTGTTGAGCGCTTTTGTTCACTTGAGAAACTCTTACTTGTGGGTTATCAACGAATTTCGGTTCTTTCGAAGACATCAACATAATTATTTCTTTGATGTGTGCTTCGTTTAATTTATAAAACAAATGATCGAAATTGGATTTCGGCATTTGATCATCAGTTAACAAAGCATTAATTAATTCTCTAGAAGATTGCAGCCATTGCTCAAATATTGTTTGGCTTGCGTTTGTTATTAACTTTCTAAATGAAAGAGTTTCTGTGTATAAAACAGAATTTTCCACAGCGAAAATATTAAGAATTGACGAAAGAATCATATTGTTTTGATTCATGTCAGAGAAAGATTGGCAATACATCAAAACATTATGAGGCTGTGAATGGTAAATATCCAATAACAAACCAGTAGCAATCTGTTGAGCATTTTGGTTTGGAGAGAACATGAAAGAGAACAACTGTGGAATAACTTCTTGCATTTTCTGGAGAGGAATCGATTTAATGAAGTTAATTGCAGTTAAAAACAAATCATTGTCATAACAAATTTTGAAGAAAAGAGAAAGAACAGCACAAATATCACTAAAAGCAACGAAAGGCTGCAATTGTAAGCAATTTGCATATGATTTCATTCCTTCTATTGCGTATTCCTTTTCATCAGGATTATTCTTGAAAAGATAATAATTAACAATCGCCCATTTTTGAGTTATTCCTGCTTTCCTCAAATTCAAAATTCCTTTCAGCATTTCTTCCAATTGTTTGAGTAAATCGTTGTTAAACAAAGCATCGTTTAGCACGTACTCAACGTACATCATGATCTGCGTGAAATGGACTTGTTTCTTTTCATTACTAAATATGATATTTTCCAATTTATCCAAAACTTCGTCTCTTTCGTTTTTCGACCACATGTAATGTAAATAAATGTTTGAAAGAACATAATCGGCGTTTGACAAGTCAAAGTTCGGATAGAAATAGTCGAAGAAACATTCAAACATGTTGTATTTCTTGTCATTTATTGTTATTTCAAGGAATTTGTTGAACTGGAGTTGATCTTCCGGCATCATGATCATTCTTGGTAAAATCAAATTCCACCAAACATCAGAATTACTCTCGCAGTTCTGGAGTCTTTGTTTCCAGACTTCTTTTGGTATATTACCATTTGTCTCAATTATTTCATTGAGTTCATACAAATATTGACAAGTTACAACCAAAGGATAAATTACAGGATAAGGAGATTTGAAGTTCAATGAATGTTTCGTTGCGATGATTTCGTAAACTTTTTTAATTGTTTTTCTGGCATCATCGTACTTCTTTAGATATATCTGAGCGAATGCCTTTGTTGTCAAGTTCTTCAATGTCTCTTCCGAGTTGAATGATGAATAAAAACTCATCAAACTTTGGTCAGCGAAGAAAGCACTTTGTGTAAAACATTGTGACAATCTTGGCAATGTGTTCTTGTAGGCACTTAACACTAAAGGACTATTCTCTATTATATCTTTGTATTTGAACAAGTTTTGTGCTGAGAAAATGTATCCAACGAATTCTTGATCTGTTAATTTTTCTTTGTTTTCAATCAGTTTTTCTTTGTAAATAGGAAATGCTTCATCCCATCTTTTCAAGGAAATCAAGAATTCTTTGGATATTGGTTCAGTGAGTTTAGACATCAATGGCTTCATATCTATTGTTTTACTCACTTCGCTTAGAAAGATACAGAACTGTCTAAGTGTTTTTTCGTTCTTGTCTTTCATATAAAATTCTTGGACATGATGCAAACCAAATGAAAGAGATCGAGATCTGATACAAATATTAATGAAACTCTTCGGATCGAATTGAAGACCATTTCCTACTCTTTCAAGTTGTTCTACTAAGTTTACAAGTGTCCGCAACAAATTGTTTGGCATCTGTGGATTTTGCAAACTTTGTGAAAGTTTTTTTGATAAAATAATTTGATCTTTTTCACTCAAAATAGACCAACATGAACTGAAAGCGGCTGGAAACAGATAAATGGCGAGTTGCTTGTGAACGGAACTCAACTGTGAGCAACAACTTATTGTTGAACAGGGGGATGTCAATATGGAAGTAGATATCAAATTTTGGTACCAATTTTGCCAATGTTTAGGAGTATACATTTTATCGTCATTGAAACAATTCACGAAATTCTTTGGATCATTGTTTGTTGTTGAAAATGAATCAATTAAAGGACCTGTGACTTTCTCTATCTTAGGGAAATCTGGTTTATCCAATGAAGGCTTTATGTTTTGCTTCATTTGTGTCATTATTTGATCGAAAACTTCAAAAGCTCTTTCATCTTTTTGCAAAACATCAAAAATTCTGTGAGCGTAGTAAGTGATGTTTTTGTCAATAATTATAATCATTGTTCTCAAGACAGAAAGAGAGACATTTTGTATGGCTGGTTCCTTATCAACACACATCAATGAAACAGCAGAAAATATTGATCCTGCATATGGATTCGGATCTGTTTTTTGTATCAAAAACTTGAGAGTTTTTAGAGCGGTTATTTTGATATTATTTGAAACAAAAACAGATGAAATTGTTTTGCAAATTTGAGGGATGAACAAATTACACAAAGAAGGGAAATAAGCAGACAATGTTGCAGAGAGTGTTAAACATGAATTAGCCAAATAAGGATTAGTAGAAACACTTGAAGAAATCGATCTTCTTATTTTCGAAACCAAAGGATACAAAAATGGCAAAAAATCATTTCCCAAACCAGTAACAATACTTGCAATAACATCTATGAAGTAGTTCAAGTCAGGAGCTTCCCATTGCTCATAAATACAATTAAGAATCGACTCAACATGAGGAAACATTTGTTGTTTTGCAACTAATGTCAATGTTTTCAATTGTTTTATTGATTCAACACGTGCTGAATCAACAGAATTCATTATATGATTCAAGATAATAGGAATAATCTGTGATAAATGTTCTGATGATTGTGTAGACATCATTGATAATGTTGTAATGGCTGTAGACAAAGATTGTGTCCTGAAATTCGTCAAATACTTGTCATTAACCATTTCCATTAATTTAGGGAAAATTAGTGATCCGTAATATTCATTCTGTGATGATGTTCCGTTGTTTAATTGTATTGTATCATCTGCTCTCGATGTTCCTGATTGTTCTGATGGAATTCTTTGTGGAGAAACAGCTCCACATTGTCCAAGAAATTCAAGTGCTCGAACTTTGAGACTTTTCGAGTCACTGTGAGCAGCAATACTAAGTAATGCATCCAATAGTTCAGGAGCAATTCCATAAATGTTTGCAGTACTTGCAGTTTTTTTGACAAAAAGTGACAAAGTGTCAATAACTAATTTCTTAATTTGTTTTGAAGAGAACTCTTTGAGGAGAGTTGTGAATATAGGTAATATCTGTGTTAGGTACGGAGATATCGTTTGGTGGTTAACCTGTAATATTCCTTGTATTGTTTTAATTAAATTAATTGTCAGTTGAGTTTCGGCTTCAGAACCAATAACAGAACCCGTTGATCCTCGAACTGACAATAATTTGATGATGATTGGTATCATTGTAGTGGCATATATAGGAAATAAGACAGCAGATGCTTCAATTAAAGCTGGCAAACTGTCTGTTGCATGTGCTCTTTCGAATGATGATGCAGAACACTGTAAAGCATATAAAGCATTGATCAAAGCGTTCCTAAGAATTGCGTCTGACCCAATTGGTGAATATTTTCTCGTGTTTTTCAGAACTTTGAAACAAAAACTTCGGACTTGAGGGGAATTGTCGTTAGCAAGGTTCTTAAGGAACTTAAGGAATGGATCATGTGCTAAATATGGAAAATGTATGCTACTAAATGAAGAAATGATCGAAATTCTGACGGTTAAAGAAGTATCTGAAGCTGCAATTGCGATTAACTGCTTCAAAACCTTTGAAAACTCTACGGGATCATCTGAGAACATGATATGAAGTAATGCTTTCGGTGCAGCAGCTCTCAACTCGTCATTTTTTGCAAATAAATATTTCTTCACTTGAGGAACTAGTTCCTGGACCTGAACGGCAGGTAATTGTGGTAACATTGGTATAAGTTTAAGCGCATGCAACGAGTAATCAGACAAAACGTCCAAAGCAACTAAAATTTTTTCGATAATTACTGAAGAATGTTCATCCCAGAATGTGGAGTTGCAGGTATTCAACAGAGGAAATAAATCCAGAAAATTAGGTGTAAACAAAACTCCTGACACAATTTGCCAGATTTCTTTTCCTTTTGTTAAATTAATGCTTGGATCAACGCTAATCAGTTTTTTAAGGAGTCCAAGTACTGATCTGATGTTCTGAAGTTCTCTTTCTTGAACAATTTTGATACATGCTGATAAAATTACTGAAACTTGTTCAATTACGGGATCTGGAACGAAATCTAAGAGAATACTGAATGCTTCGCATATAGTTGGTACTGAATCTGATTTTAGCATCATGGTTATCAATAAATTGAATACATCCGTGAAAAATTCGGAATGAAATACGGGAGGTTCGACTGCGGACAACAAACTTCGTATTAAAATGCATTTTTGTTTAAATTTCGACTTTGCCTGTTGTATATTTGGTGTAATCGTATAATAAATATCATATAATGACAATTTGAAGTAATGTGGCTTTAATCGTAACATTTCTGCCATCACAGAAGCAACACTAGATAACGAATTGACTTTTGATTCGTGTATATGGTTTAAACATGAATTCATTACTTCTTGAAATCGAGTAGATAAATTATATGCGTGAGTCTTTATCATCGTTATGAAAAGTTGCGTAAACATCTCTGATGCGAGATTTTGGACGTCTGTATTACTTGAAAAAAGAAGAACCCAAAGTGTTTGTTGGATTTCTCCACAATTTAATATGAAAAATGTAGGCAATAAGGAAGCGAATTCCTTAACCATATGGAGTCCCATGATTTGATTGCTTTTTTTGCTATTGTTTGCTAATAAATTTAGCGCATTCGAAAAGTAATACGACGCTAAATTTGGATTTGTTTCGATTTTATCCGCAGAAATTTTAGCTATGCAGTATGCTGATAGATGAGCCGTTTCAAAATCGTCTGTTTTCATTATCATTTCGAAAAATGATTTTAATAAATTGTCATCTTGATCGTAAAAATGATAAACTGTGAGCAAAATTACAGATATTCTCTGTAAATTTGCATTATTCTTAACTTTAGAAAGCGAAATTGCATATTCCGTTGACGAATTTACCCAAATCTTGATATCTTCTTGGGGAAAATACTGAAGTCTCTGGATCATTTTGGACCATGTGATCTCGGCGTACTTCCGGGTCTCGGCAAATGAGCCCGGAAAGCGAAACGTCTCGATCACAGCCTTCGTTTTCTAAAGTTACCGCCAAAATTGCCAATACGAAAAAATCGAAAACTCATGGATACACGACTTTTGATCTGACAATCCAAGAAATCTTATTAAATATCGCAACCACCGAGTAACGAAATTTGAAAAAATCTCATTTCTCATATTACAATGACGGCACAGAGATTTTAGATGGAATTGATTGGTTGATTTAAGTTTTTTACTTAATTATAGGAAATTAAAGATTTCAATCTGAAAAAATTATCAAAAGAAGGAAATCAATAATGAAAACCTCAAAGTTTGAACATTTAAAGGTTATACTATTGCTGGGTTTTAATCACTATTAATTGTAAAAATATTTCATATCAAAAGTTTATTGCCTCACAACTATAATATCAAGTATCATTGGTGTGTTTTAAAAAATGATCAATAAGTGAAGTACAAATATTTAGATGATTTAGTAAATAATAAAGGAATTTTTAGCTCAATTTAAGAGCAAAGTAAGTTATTATATTGTACTACAGCATGTGTTTGTGCAGGAGGCTTATTGGGACCATTTTGCGTAAAATTAAAGAAAAATCAATTCACAATAACAATTAAATCGGCAATTTGAAAAATAAACTAAGAATAAATATATTCTATATGGTAACAGAGTTCCTTCCGTTCAATATTGATAGCTAGTTCACTTGTCGGTCCATAAAATTACGAGAATACGTTGTATATATGTCACTTTTAGTTCATAAACTCATTGAAATTGAATTTCAATACTGCACAGAAATTGAAAGAAAAATGGCACTTTTCTGTAATATTGACTGAGTCCGAAATCGGCCATCCAATAAAAGATGTAACACAAATAGAGATTTATTATTTATGTACGGTCTTTTTTTCAGAATATTCAAATTCCCATTATACTTTTCTGAGTGCATTACTTCTATCGTAAAAAAAATTTTAAATATGGATGACCCTTTATTACATCTTGCCGAGAATCAAAATAATCTTCTCGACAAAAAGTATTCAGGGCGTCGCATTACATTAACAAGAGGATTATATTGCAAGATATTTGTTCCAATCGGAATTTTATGCTTCATTATGGCAATAATTCTAAAATATACAGTCCCAACAGCCATCGAAATAGTTCAGGAATATGACGATTACTGTCCATTAGGTAAGACATGTGATTTTATTATCAGCGTCCCAAAACCAATGAAATTTCCAATTGCATTATTATATCAGCTCGACAATTTTTACCAAAATCATTTAGGTTCTGTTGGATCACGCTCCGACGCCCAACTATTAGGTAAGTATGTTGATTTCGATAAAATGAAAATGTGTGCCCCTTATCGTTCTCACAATGACAGTAAGGATCCAACTCAATGGATACTTCCTTGTGGCGTTGAAGCAATAAGCTACTTCAATGATTCGTTTTCTATGATTCCTTACCAAGATATTAATCCGACGGGCTGCTCACGATCTGGCATTAAAGTTAGAGCGTTGAATAGTAGATATTCTGGCCATAAATGGCTCGAAGATAACATTGTATTTCCAACAGAATACATTTCCCATAGATTTTCTATTTGGATGGACACTGCTGCCTTTCCAAGTTTCAGAAAAATGTATGGAATCATTAAAGGGTCTGGCTATTTAGCTGGTCCAAATATTACAATCTCGATTACAAACAACTATGACGCTACAGTATTTAATGGAAGGAAATCTCTAGTATTAACTACGCAAGGATATGATGCTGTGTCATTACAATATCTTTTTGGCCTGTTTATTGCTACAGGAATAGTTATTGAATTATTTTGTGTTTTTATTTTTGTTTACAAGAAATAACGTGTTTTATTTGTTTTGTTATTTGTTAAATATTATTGTTTGAAATTGAATTTTCTCTATATATGCTATTTTAAAGTAATTGCAAGTATTTGCGTTATTGAGAATGTTCCTAAGAAAAATTAGTGAAGTACTATTATACATGATCCTGTTTATATTCATTCCACTTAACATATTTGATGTCTATTGTTATATTAACTTTATAACATATAACAATGGCGTTAATGTTTGAAGTTGAACTAAATGAATATTACCACAAAAGTATATCATTGTTTTATTGGATATTCATGCCATTAATGATAAAAATAATGAACTTTCTATAAATAATTTTTTTTATATTCATACAAATACAAAATAAACAAATATTACAAATAGCTAGATTAAAACAAGAAGATCTTCATTCAAGTGCACGATGAAATAGCCCTAAATTCTTTCTCATTTTGATAATGAGAAATATGCCAGAATTCTATAGAAATTTATCAAAGAAAATAGAATCAAAGCATTGTAGAGTGGAATTACTTCATTCTTGACTTAAGTTCTGCAAGTTGTTTTTGATAAAATGCAACTTTTGGTGCCATATCATTTTCTTCGAAATCTCTAACGCGTTCCTGTAGTTCTTCATTAATTTCATTCATTTCTGTTATTTGAGAGACTAAAGCTTCAAATTTTGGATTCATATTTTGCAATTTATCTTCAATACCGCCAATTCTGTTATAAATATCACCAAGCTTGCTTTCATAAGAATTATATAGTAATTCCGCCCTGGTTCTGAAGTGACCTGCAAGTTCGGGTACAAATGGAACTTCTTGTTTCGCTGTTGAAAGAACACCGATTAATTCATCTAAATTAGGCTCTTTGGATGAATCTGTGATGAGTAATTCCTCAAATATATTTGATAATTTCTCACAAATCGCTGTGGAACTTGTTCCATTTTGAGCTCTGTAATAATTTAATTTCTTTATTAGATTTGTAAACGTTTCTTTAATGGAATCATCCTTCTTTCTAGTTGCCTCTAGTTGATTATTCAATTCTTCTAGTCTTGAATTGAATTCGCGATTATTGATTTCTAACTGAGCTTTATCTTGTTTAAGAAGCATATTCTCATGGGATATTTGAGAGTTTGCTTCCTCTAAAGTAGCAATTTTGGTTTTTAATTTCGAATTTTCAGAATTCAATTGAGAAATCTCCTGATTAAGCTTTGAAAAGTCTGTTATCATTGTATCTTGTTTAGATGCAGTTTTAATACTTGTTAACTGGGCTTCATATCCTTTTTGCATTTCTTGCATTTCAGATCTATGATTTTGCATAATACTTTCAATTTCTTGCTGATATAATGCGCATTTAGGACATTCAGATGATCCAAATACCTTATTTGACTCGATTGTAACCAACAAGCTTCGATTTTCATTTTGCAATTCAGTAATCTTGGATACTACCTGATCCATTGTGGAGCATCCAAGTAAATCGAGTATTTCTTTAGATGTATTCCAATTTTCCTTTTCTTTCAATGCGCCGTGAAGCATATTGTTCTCTGCTTCTTTTTCATAGTATTTGGCTTCCATATGATTAAGATTTGTTTTCAATTCGTTTATTTGTGCTTTATGCGTTTCTTCCATTTTTTTAATCACGTTTTCATAATTTTGAATGGCTTCAGTGTACTGTTGAATCTTATACTGAAGCTGGAAAAGCTCGTTTTGCTGACCTTGGTTGATGACATCGTTGACATCAACTGGAACTTCAATCATGCAAAAGTGACCGTTTAAGATTTAGGATACTATTTGAAATCAGTGGTGTTCTGATTGGAATTGAGATTTTTTAACTGTTATCTCTTTATATTCTGGAAATTACTGAATTCTGTGAGGAAATGCAATAAAAAATTAGAATTATTTCATAAGATAAGGCTGATATTTTTATAAATGATATGACAATGGAAAACAGAATGATTAATAATATTAGAATTCTTTAAATTGAAGCCAAACGAATGAGAAATTTATCAAATCTGGGAATTAGAAAAATGGTATAAAGAAAGAAAAGTTTAATAAAAACAATAATATTTTTAGTCGAAAAATTTACAAATTGAAATAATTTACAAATTATCATAAAACAATAGTAGAATTGTATGAGTTAAATGGATGTAGTATGGAATTGAAATGAAAGACATAAAGTTGTTTCAGTGAAAAAAAAAATATGAAATGTCAAAGAAAGTATTGATTTCCTTGTTGATGATCAAGGAATCGTAATGAAGTTGTTTGTTTTGAATAGCATACCTGTTTTATCAAGAAAATTGAATTTATATTTCAGTTTTTTTGTAATATTTGATAATATAATTTAACCATTTAAAAGAACTTTGTATTTTTATTGAATTTTGATAATATTGTATGTGTTTTGAAGTTGGTGTAAAGAATAACAAAATATTGATATAAATTTACAAGATACATTGTTGTTTGTATCTTTTTAATACCTTGGACGATAGTCAATATAATCGCGGCGGTCATAATACATGTCTGGTCTCCTCCTGTCATCATAACCATAAGCTGGATCTTGATCGTAACGAGGCCTTGCCATCATTGCCCTATCATCGTAATCGTAGCGTGGTTCGTTGTATCTGTCATATGCAGGATATCTTGGAGGCATATCATATCTGAGGCGGTCGTTGTATCTGTCATAATCATAACGTGGATCTTCATTGTATCTGTCATATCTTGCAAAACGATCACGGTCATCCGGTCTGCGATCGCGCATATCGCGATCATCATTGCGGTTGCGTTGTGGCATTCCCTTGAATGGCATTAGACGTGCTTCCTCTTTTGTATAGCCTCTATCACGCTTGGCAAGTTCGACCTTAAGAACGTTTGTACCATACTTACAATTATTCTTTGCTAATGAGGCTTCAGCATCCTTTTCGTTTGTAAATTTTATGAATGCATATGGAGGTATTTGTGGATTTTTTAAAGAATGAACAACTTTGATGGATTCTATCTGACCAAACCCTGAAAAAATTTGTTTGATGTCGTCTTCAGTGCCATCCATGCCAAAGCCTGTGACATAAACGTTTAACTTAAGCTTGGATTCTCCAGATGTTTTTTCAGCTTCAGTTGTTTGAGCTGCTTGCTCTTTAGATGGAGTCTGTTCCGTGGTCATTTTTTATGAAAGGAAATTTTAGACGGATATCATCACCTCACTATTTTTGCAAAATTCCATTAAGTATTGCTTGTGGAGCAAAAATAATAAATTTCAGAGCGAACAGATCGATTTCGTATTATTTCAGAATTTTTCTGACAGTTAATATAAAAAGGATTCATTGATCACAGCATGAATCTTAGTATAGTTATTGGTTATGAGCTCTTTAGCCAGAATGGCAGTATCAAACATATGAATATTTTTATTGCCGTTCAATATCAATTAAGAAATTGATATGATGAGATGTATATAAAAGTATTCTTTAATCCTAAATGAATTGGCAGAAACAAATCAATCATCAGAACGATTGATTTAGATTTTGTACTCATATATGACTCGCCAATATATTAGTAGTATAATAGCATAACATTGTAATTGTTTGTAGTATGGTATTGAACAAATAAAAATTATAACTTTAAAATGTGATATTTTTGTAACTGATATGCATCATTTGCTTGAATGATTTCTTGATTTTGGAATATTGTTGAGAAATTGAGACTGAATAATTTAAAATTCAGTGAGGAATTGAAATATTTCTATTAAAGAGGGTAATGAGTCTATTGAAATCATTTAATTCATTGGGGTGTTTAAAGGTGTAATATTTCTGATTGAAGTTATTTGATAAAAAATAATAATATTTAATAACATCAAGATTGTTAAGTAAATTTCACGCATTTGATTGTCCTAGACTTTTCCCATAAGATTTTGGAAAGATTAGTTTTCCAAATTTTTTTTGATTTCATGAAAATGTTAGCAATTCTAACATTGATGAAATATATTTTTTGAATTTTGAATTTTTTTTGGAAATTTAATAAGTTAAATCTTTGATATTCATCATTTGGATATGTTTTTCGCATTTTTAACTAATATAAGAGATTCAAATTTATATAAAAATACAAATTATTACATTATAATTGATTTTTATTCGGTATTAAAAATTAAGTATTTTATAATATATGAATCATTATAACTTAGTGCAGCAGATACTATTTGCTTTTGATAGGCATTGCTTGTACTTAGTGCCTTTTGCGAAATGGTTCAACACTATATTTGGCAAATTACAAGATTTACCTTTTTCTTTGATAAGAGAATAAAAAGAAAAGTAAAAAATTAAGTATAATAATAAACAGAATTTATATTTAGTTGCGCTCTCCGCGGATACGCTGAGCAAGCTGGACATCACGCTCCATGATTGTAACTCTGTTAGCATGGATAGCGCAAAGGTTTGTATCTTCGAAGAGACCTACAAGGTAAGCTTCAGAAGCTTCCTGAAGGGCAGCGATAGCGGAGGACTGGAAACGAAGATCACCACGGAAGCCAGAAGCGATTTCTCTGACGAGACGCTGGAATGGGAGCTTACGGATAAGGAGATCTGTGGACTTCTGATACTTACGGATTTCACGAAGAGCGACTGTACCTGGGCGGAAACGGTGTTGCTTCTTAGCACCCTGGGAGTCGATTGTTGGTGTTGACTTGCGGGCGGCCTTGGCACCGAGGGACTTACGTGGGGTCTTGCCACCTGTGGATTTTCTAGCTGTCTGCTTTGTACGAGCCATTAGAAATAATGAAGTCAATCATTTCCCCGCCGTTTTTCATTCAATTTTTTATGCCATTTTAGACCTAAATTATTTCAAATAAATATTTTCAATACATACTGAAAAAACAATAGCGTAAAGTGACAAGGAATAACTTTTGGCGGTATTATTTGAGAAGGTAACTTATTTCATTAGTTATAATGTCTGGCCGCGGTAAAGGTGGTAAGGGTCTCGGTAAGGGTGGTGCTAAACGCCATCGTAAAGTAATGCGTGAGAACATCCAGGGTATCACAAAGCCAGCCATCCGTCGTCTTGCTCGTCGTGGTGGTGTCAAGCGTATCTCTGGTGATATCTACGAAGAAGTTCGTGGCGTCCTTCGTCACTTCCTTGAGAACGTCATTCGTGATTCAGTTACATACACAGAACACGCTCGTCGTAAAACAGTTACAGCCATGGATGTCGTCTATGCTCTCAAGCGCCAGGGCAAGACACTCTACGGTTTCTAAAGTATGAATAAAATGTGTATCTTTTCTTACTTTTATATGTTTTTCTTAATCAATTATCAAATTTAAGAGATCTTTATATTACTGAAGGCTTTTTTTATACATTGGATATGTCTCCTTGTTGTAATGATTGTGGTTGCAAAATAACTAACTTAACTTATAACTTTTTAAAAATTCATTACAAATTCTTTTTGGTTTTCATGTAAGGGTATGCGGCAAAGATTTATTAAAGGTTACATAGCTAATATAAAACGCTTTATTATAACAAACAAACAGAAAACAATTTTAAAATTTTAATATTCTATAGAATTATCATAGAATTCCTTAATAATTTGATCAAACACAGCGGCAAACTCACTTATCTCGACCTTAATATCTTGTTGGTACAATAATTTGTAACAATTATTGGTATAACATAGTTCTGCATTATTTTGACACGAATTTAGTTGAGCTGCTTTGCTACTACTAATATTTAGCGCTTCAAGTTTAACTCCTTGTAAATTGAAGTACTCGAAATCACAAAACTTAGAAATCTCTTTTGCAATTCGTGAACATGTCATCCCAAAAGGCTGCAATTCTATTATTACAGGTTTCTTTTTCTTTTCTTCAGAAATCATCCAAAAAGAATTTGCAATTTCATCACTTTCTGCACCAATAAATATATTTGAAGATATAGAAAGGTTAATTCGTTGAGTTAGGTCAAGATTCTTGAAGTCTACTCTATGTAAGTTGCAAAAATCACAACTTGTCCTAATATATTGTTCAATATCATCCAAATTAAGAATTGAACTATTATTATTCGAACTATTCAATAGTACTATATCTAACAAACCATCTTTACGATCTGGTTTTGGAATTTTGTATTTTTCAAAGATTTGATTTTTAAATTTATCAATAAATGATCTATTGAAGTTGAAAACAACTCTATTCTCTTCATCTGGATTCCTAGAATACGATGGATCCTCTTCAAACGTTGGATATCCAACAATTAACCTTTTGAATAAATATTTTTCTTTTGGATACTTTTGTAAATGTCTGATTTTGTTGTCAGAGAGTACAGAAACTATTTCGTTGGAGGATTCTGCATTTCTGATGAAAATCAAAATATCTTTTGTTATTTTCAAAGTTTCATAACTTGAAATGAAAGGAAGAGATAAACTAGTAAGGGTATTCCATAGTGATGTCGAATCATTAAATAAAGAGATCAAAATTGAATCTTTTTCGATAATTTCAAAATTTTCATTGAATTCTTGAACTGATGAGTTCAAAACAACGGGTTCTTGATCGAGAGCTGCAGATACTGAGCTAAAAGGTGGAGATCGACCATCAATTGTCATAAATGGATGCGGAAAGTTGTATTTTGCTTTTGAGAAAAAAACAAGGAAGCCATTCAATAAGGCAGTGTTTCTGAATTCACAATATCTTGTTTCAAAGGATGAACCGAAGCATTTTGCTTGAGAATAGTTTGATTTTGAAAATTCAATTTTGCTCAACTTGACATCAAAATCATTCTCAGATTCAGGTATATTACTCTTCAGATGGAGTAATGATGGCTTCTGATTGAAATCAGGAGTCTTACAATATAATTTTCCATCGTAATCTTGAATAAATGGAAGATCTATTGACAAAAATAACTTATCTTCGCCTAAGTAATCTTGATTTGTTGCATAATTTGGAAATATAAGTAATTGATCAAATGCATAAGTCTCAAATCCGTAATAATCCTTTAGATATGGATAAAATTTGATTGGTATGTTCTCGTGATATGATATTTTGATTGTGTTATTCTGTGATTGAATAGATTTAATCGAATAACAAGGATGAAATCCTCGAATATTGGTCGGAAATTTAGATTCATAGTATGAAATGAAAGCTAATAAGATCGATGATAAAATTGCAGCAAAGATGATCAAATGTATCTTATGCCTTTTAAAAAAAGAAACCCTTTTATGCAATTTTATCATCTTATGATAACAAAAAACGGGGGGAGATACCAAATTTTCTTCGCATCCTGACCATTGCATTTACAAGTTTCATACAATCTTGACAACATGTAGTGGCAAGATTAAGATTTCCTTACACTACTTACAAATGATTTCAACAGTAGATCAAATTTTAAAATTGAATCTTACCTAATCATAGTAATTTCAAGTCATTAATCATTTGTGTTCAAAAACTAAAGAAAGTAATGCTAATTTTTGAATATTGTATGGGGAATACCATATAAATATTTTAAAATTTTCGTCATATAAACTTTTTTTTTCAAATAAGATGAAATTGAACATAATAATTGCTATTGACTACCAAAAGGAGATAAGCTGTTTTAATGAAATGCCATGAATGCTTTGTATTAAAACTTGAAATTTCTATTTCATTTCTATATATAATCACACACGTAACATTTACTATAATTACCTTTACAAGATAATAAAATATCACATAATGTCAGTTGTTTAAATTCTGACTTAAATACTCAATTATCGAGTTGAAACCTAATTTTTCTGCCAGTGCAATTGCATCTTGGCCAACTTTAGCTCCATTTTCAACTAAGAACTTAGTCATATTTTCATTTTTTACTAAAATAGCGTTCAATAATGGTGTTCTTTGTCTATATCTAGGTGTTTGATTTTCTAAATGAATAAATGAAGAATTGGTTCTTGATTTACATCAGCTCCATTTCTGACTAGTAATTTTACTATTTCTTCATGTTTTCCTGCACAAGCAATTAAAAGAGGAGTTTTCCGATGAAATAATAAATTGAATTCCTAGTAAAACATTTTCATTCACTTTTGCGCCTTTATCAATCAGCATTTGAACAACATCTATTGCATCGTTTTCTATTGCTATTGTTAATGGCGTTTTATCAATTTCGACTTTGACATTAGGTTCTGAACCATGATCCAAGAGGTATTTAATTGCATTAATATTGTTTTTATCGCATGCGATGCTTAAAGGTGTTAAAATATTACTAAACTTGTTAACATCAGCACCTTGCTCAATAATATATTTGATAACAATGAAGAAATTATTCATGCATGCTCTACAAAGAGGTGTTGCATTGTTATGCATGAAATTTATATCGCCTTTATTTTCAAGATAATAAATCAATGCTTTATGGAAATAAAACTCTAAACAATCTTGTACGTAAAATCCTTCGAAGCCATAGTTATTAACAATCCAATCATGAATCTGTTCATGATGAAAAGAAAGTGCAGCACTTATAGAATTTTTGAAATCAGCTCCATTTTGATGAAGAATTCTAATAATTTCTATGTTTCCACCTTCGACACTTTGAGTAACTAATCTATCAGTTAAATCGAGTTTGTTCATCATTAAGAACTTAAAACAATTTATTGAACCATGTTTTGCTGCTAGTTCTATTGGATTGTATTGATCATTACCAAAGAAAATATGTCTTTTTCTCCTTTCTATAGGTTTATTAAAATCGAACGAAGGATCCTTTGTTTCCTGAATAACTTTGTCAATATCATCAGTTTGAATGTAATAACCAATAGTTTGCTCAGGGAATAATGATGGGAAGAAAGTATCCATTTGATTCTTCCCTTCATTCTTTTCAAAGAGTAAAGAGTTGAGAAAATTTGAGTCGCTGAACTTTGGAAAATTAAAATGAGTTTTGAGATATTCAAATAAGTCTAGATAAGTATAGACTAGTTTTGGACGCTTCTGACAGGCATAATCAATAATTTTTAATGCTGAAGTAGGTTCCAAAAAGTGACGTTTTATGAGTGTAATGAAATTTTCTCCAATTTCAACCACGTTTTGAGGATTTAATGCCCAAATAGATTCTTCTAAGTCAATAATTGGCTGTAATTCTTCAGGTATATCAACATCTGCAATTGATTCATAAGTTAGTTGTGCGCTTTCAACGTCAGCTTCAATCATTTTAAAAAATGTCCTTATTATATCAATAATTTGTTAATAAATGCAATAACCTATGCAAACAAGATAAATTTTACTATCATATATTTCACTTTTTGGTAAGTTGTAATATGAAACATATATCTTTCTTGATTCACCGGCTGTTACTATAATCGATGCCAGATTTAATACGAATAAATTAATATAATGCTTTCATATTTATGCATTATTATGAATGAATACGTTTTCTAATTTAGTAACTGTATGATGATAACAATGAAAAGTGGCTTCATTATATTTTCCATAATTATATTACATTCAAAGCTTATATTGATTAAAAAGTTCATACATATGCTTGATATAAAAATTAGAGGAAGTAAATTCATGTTAATCAATGATTTTAGTATTATATCATATTATCGTAATATACTATATTTCTTTCCTCTTAATATTTTAGGTTTTATGGCTTTTTGGCCAAATATTCCATAATTTATGGGTCTCTGTAGTTTCACTATTCGCTCAATTTAGCGTCAATTATTAATACTTCTTATCAAAAATGTATAATCTAGTTAGATAATCAAACGACAAGAAAGATTTATTTTCATATCTCTTACCAAAGCATCTCAAGCAGCACTTGGGTTGCTAAAGAAAGAATATAGGAATTGATCATCATTGAGCACCTGTTAATAGTCCATCATTGAGAATAAAGCGTCAAAGATTGATGGTGTTTTGTCCTTAACCTCAAGATCTACTTTAACTATAGGGGACTCAGGTTCATCACTAACTTTTGGCGATTCTTGTATTATTTTTTCGCGTTTTTTCTTGTTAGATCTTGACTTTTTATTTGCTTTTCTGATTAAAGTTTGCCAGCGGTTTCTGATCATATTTCCTGTTCTTCCCTTGAACATTTTTGCGATTGCGTTCCATTTGTTGCCATGAATGGAAAACTGCTTGAGAATCATCTCATCTTCTTCCTGTGTGAAATCTTTGTGGTTTATTCTTGGGCACAAATAATTTTGGTATCTTTCGCGGCACTGTCTTGGTGTTCTGCTTTGCATTATGTTAGAAATTTCTCTCCAATTTGGTGAGCGTCCACTCTCTTGGACTAATTTAAGGAGCTTTGCGTCTTCCTTAGGGGTAAACTTGGTTCTGCTGCAGCAATCCTCGCAAGGTGCATGTCCATTAGGTAGTAATCTATCCATAATGAAGTTAATTCTGTCAGCCATTTATTTTGAATAGACCTCAACATATTTGAATGCCGAGATTTGACCGATACTCAATTTTCTGAAGTTTATAAAATAAATTGAGAGTAATACTAGCCGAATTGAGAAGGCCCTTCTGAAAATAAATAGTCAGGTATAAAAGGAAATTCCTAAACTTTCATTTACTCATATATACTAATTCCTGCTTCGAGATTTTAACATTGAAAATTCTTACGAATTGATAAAAGATAATTAGAAATAAAATAATATTCTATAATATTTAATGTAGATCAAGAATACTCCAATATCATGAGAATGAAGATTTGTATACCTCTCAAAAATATATTCAAATCCTCCCTTTCAAATTCTTAATTCTTCTAAGATTGAGATGTCCCCTTCAAATCTTGTGATATGTTTTTTATATTATATAGAGCATTTTTAACTAATAAAATAGTTTTTGCACCCATGACGTTAAAAATCAAAAATCTTCATAGTTGTGAAGGAAGCATATTGTACATCAGCATCGCTAAGTGTCCAAACAAATATATCTATTCAAAAAATGGCATTCAAAGCTTTTAATTATTATTCATCTTTTCAAAATATATGGTCAATCATATAAATTACAAAACTAAAATAACAAGCTAGTAATATTAGAACATATAACACTGAGAAAATTGTGTTTCTCCAATTCTTCTTTAGAATCAGCAGTTTAATCTTAGCTTAAAATTCAGTATTTAACAATTGACTCCCCACCAAAACATATAAAATATCATCGTATACTAATAACTTTATATGGTTGTTTGAATTTCTTCACTATAAGTTTTTCAATTTCAATTTGAAAATTTATTTTCCCGTATATTATGAAGATTGCATAAATCTTACAATATACTGTTAGGCCAAACAATTTTGATATGATAATCAAATCAGGAATAATTTCATGATAATTCTTTCTCAATAATTCGGATTTATATAACTATATCTTGATAAAATTTCACTTCATGTCTTCATTGAAGATTGGAGATAATTTTCATTTTGAATCAAAAATGATTTTTTTTTGGCTGATAATTTTTATATGAATCTATACTAACAGAAATATTAAGACAAGATCTTTATATTTTATGCCGGTGAATTGAGTTAAAAGAAGCATTTTTCCAAGCGAGGCTAAACCCATTTTCCTCCGTAAGGTTTCCTTATCGTTTTTCTATCTCAATTTTGAGTGAACCTCTATCAAAATTTTGATAAAGATACTTCACGGAGAAAAGGAGTTTAAATTAATGTTGATTTTTCTTTTGTATAAAATAAAGATTGATACTTATAAACAGAGGTTGAATTTATTTTAGATGTGGTATATTTCAATTAGACGATATAGTTTTTGTAGAGAGAAAATCCTTTTCAATTTTAAGAATGATTAAAGAAATGAAGCGTTGAAAAATGGAATTATGGAAGGAATTCTTCCCAAATCTAAATGATCCAAGCTTTACACAGAAAAATGCAAGAATTACTAATGCTGGCATTTACTTTGTTAATTTTGCACAATTCCATGGTCTTGGCAGTGAAGGTGTTATTGTCCTTTCTGGTAATCCTTCCACAGCACTACTTGTTTTTGCTTCCAGTTTCAAAGATTCGTTTAAAAGTTCCGGTCAAGGCGGATCTATAAATCTCATTCAAGGATCCATTGTTCAATACCATATATGCAGCACTGGCTGCCATGATAACCCAAGCACAGGTTGGGGAGGCCACAGCTATACTGAAGTAACAAAAACTCCAAATACACCGAATTATTTGATTGAATCTACTATCTCGAGATGTAAAACTTCCAGTAGAGCTTTTGAACATGATTTTGGTTCTATTCTTGTTCAGTCTACAAACACTTCTCACTATAAAGGATCTGATATGGCGGCTTTTTGCTTATCTAGAGCAAACAATACAGGTGAAGTAAAATTTTCGCTGATTGTTAATAATTCATGTCATAATCCATGTGTAGGATATAGCAGAAGTAATTACATTTCAATTTATTGCCAATTTATTGAAAATTCAAATAGTGAAACATCATATGGAATAATACATGTACAAATTGGTAGTTCTGCTAGTTTTTCAAACTGCAGTTTTGTAAAAAATGCAGGAAGTCGCCTTTTCTCTCTATATGAATCAAGCGCGTCCATTACAAACTGCTTTATTAAAAATCCTAATTGTCCAACAGGATCAGGATCTATTGGCTCTACTTATCCTGATCAGTTAGAAATTGTTCTTTTGCTTTTGTCTACTAACCAATGTAATGCAAATAATAAACTTATGAATCCAATTATCGTTGTCAAACCATCGTATATTACTAAATACATTCCTTACCTTACATTGGATTTATTGATAGTTCCAACACAAATCTTATTTGTCATATAAAAATCTTTGCTTTTGTGCAATTTAGATTCTGATAAATAATGAAGCACATAATCATTCAATACATTAAAAACTTGAATGAATTTTTCCATCCAAAATATGTGTTTTCCGAGATATTCGCCCTAAAGTATTATCTCTATGGTTTTGGAATGAATTTTAAGAATTCTTTTCCCAATATGGTAATTATGAAATTAAATATGAAAATAATAATCAATTGAACAAATAATAAGTATTTTATTATAAAAATAATAAAAAGAGTCAATAAATAACAAAACAAATATAAAATAAAAATAAATCAGTTATTTTCGAATGTTCCAGATATTTCGATAGCTAAAAGAATCTTCTTCTTCGCGATCTCTTTCGATGTGTATATAGGCATGTCGAACTCACCGAAACATGTCCTCGCTTTAGGTAGTCCATCCCTCCACGCAGAGTCATTCATGTAGCAGATGTTCAAAAGAGGTTTGCTTGGAGGGTTGAATGGCAAGTTCTCTCTCGCTGTCGCGAACTTGAGAAGAAGAGAAAGTTGTGATTTGTTCATCTCGTTCAGTATCTCGATGAACAAATCTTTCAGTTCTTTAGGCAAACCATGGTCGAACTCTGTCACACTCAAGATTGCTTCTGCTGTCAATTCGTTTGGAGGAGAGCAACAAGATCTGATGATGTCTCCTGTAACGAAAGGAGGAGGTTTCAGTCCTAAGTTCTCCCAGTATCCTTGGCGGATGATGTCCAAGTTACTCTTCAGTTCTTTGATCCTGAAATCCTTAGAGAGAGATATGTATTCTCTCACGTTTTGGAGAGTGACAGGACGCGTTCTTCCGTACTCAGAAAGTGGCCTCTCTTGTCCTAGTGAGTCTTTCACAACGAAGAAAAGAGAAAATCTGCTCGAAAACACTTTCTCGTCTGTGATGTTCTGTATGTTGTTTTCGAGAGAAATCATCAGTTCTTTGTATGGTGTGTCGATAGAATAAATGTCTTCGATTGTCAATATCCCTTGTGCGATGTATTTCCAGAAGAAATCAGGGAAAGGCAGTGGTTTCGTCAGTCCGCATCTCGTTGAGATTCCAAACAAAACACCAAGCATCTTATACATGTCCTCTGAATGCATGTTGTTTGGATCTGGAACAGGAATCAGGCAATCGAAGTTTTCAGAGTTAGGGAACTTCGAATTTGGACATTGAATGAACAAACCAATACTCGGAATGATTGATTCGTTGATCGCATCCAAAATAAGTTCTTTAGAGATTCCGCCTGAATCTTTTCCTTTCTCATCTTGGAAAACAACACAAAATGGTGAATCTCCTCGTTTCCTGAAGTTCTTTGGAACGTTTTCTTGATATTTCTTGTGGAACTGATACAAGATCGAACAATTTATATCTTTGAAAACGCCATCCCAAACTTCCAAAGCTCCAATTCTGTTGAAATTCAACTGTATTGAATCATCATTAGATTCTGCATCAATCAACTCCATGAACCTCTTCACTTTCAGTTCCTTTGGCATGAAATGACACAAATATTTAATGAAATTCTCTGGACAATTAAATATATTGTGGTAAATCATCCAACAAACGGAAAATAGCAACAAACCACGGAGGTAAATGATGTGCGTAGGATAAGGAATCATTGATTGCGCTAATATTTCAGGATTGATGTCTAATTTGAAGTTTTGTTCCGCAAATTTTGACAAAGAAACCATTTCAAAGATATCTTTGTCGTATTTATAATCGAAAATTGCGAAAATCGTTCGGACATCGTTGATAAACATCTCTCTGTTTTGAATAACAAATTCTTTGAGGTCAGATTCAGTAAATCCTTCAGCAACAAGGATGAATTTCATATCCTGGAGCTTGTCGATGTTTTCTGAGAAGATAATCTTGCAGTTATTTCCCATGAAAATGTTATTCGACGCTGGAGGATCGAATATCTTTCCGTATTTGTTGAAAGTACTGTTTCCGTATAGCTTGATAATGCAATGCTCGTTGAGCTTGGCCGATATAGTCACAGATATCGTCTTGTCTGTTAATCTCGTGATTTCATATGGAATAAATTTTGTAGTTGCAATTGCCCATTGGTTCAGGAATAAGTGGAATGGGAATCCTGTTAGTTTCTTTGTAATAGGCTTGCATAACCTGACAAGTTGAGAAGCGAATTCGTTTACTTTTTCACTGGAATTTTCTAGGTAAAGGGGAAATTGGATTTTCGGCATCTCCCAGTCAGTCAATTCGATGGATTCGTACTCGCTGAGTTCGGCAGGTGTCAGGAATTCTGGGAAATTCTTCTTCAATGGTATGTAAATCTTCTCTCTAAACTGTGTCTGTTGATCTGTAAGGAATGTCATGATCGGATGGTTCTTCTTGTTCGTGTAAATGGATAATAATGATAAATGGACTACAAGGTCTCCGACTAAGTCAATGGATATCAATGGACAAATATCACATAAAAATTCAAGGATATTTGGACCAAATGACGAAAAGAATGGGGAGTTCGCGATATAAGAATCAATAAAGTTCGTATATATCATGGCTCTGAAGTCATGTAAATCCGAAATTTCAATAAAATTACTGTATCTCGTTATATAATACGTAAAATACTTCAAAGATAGGACCAATTCGAAGAAGCTACCAAAGAAGGTTTCATTCGTACCAGGATTGACTGGCAAACAGATGACGCCGTCGCCTGTTGCGTCAATTCTTGAAATTTTTACAACGAATCCTTCAACGTAGACCAATCCTTTCGTCAATATCGTCTCTCTACCTTCTTTATCTGCTACTTTTAATGAGCCATCTGAGTTAAATCCAGCTCTGAATACGATATAACCAATTGCTGAAGGTTTTATGATAGTTCTGGTCTCTGTGAGTGCTGATATTTGGGTAATAACCGCATTAGGCTGCAATGGTCTGATGAAATGCATATAGAAATTGGTAAATTGTTGTAATAAGAAAGATTTCCATATGTGAGCGAAGATTGGGATCAATTCAGACTCTTCAACGTACTGATAGATCACGTTTATGCCTTGTTTGAAGACATATTTCGGTCCTGTTATGTGATAATTTGGAGATGTTGCGTCAATCGTGAAATTGATGGGACAATCCTTCTTGGCAATGATGTCTGGATTAATTGGTTCAATATGCATTGCAAGCATCAACACAATTTCCAACAAATTCGGCATTTCTAAGTCGAAAATTTCAATTGCTTTGGATTTAGGAAAATTAACGATAGAAAGTGCCTGTAAGAAAATGTGGGTCTGTATATCTTTCCTTGTTTCGTACACATAACCCGTTGTAAAGAAATTAAGAATTTCTGAAGGCAAACAAGGGTAAGTTATGGTATGAATTGGCTGGAACAGGGTTATATTAGTTGTTTGGACACCTTCTACCTCAGTAACTTCTCCCGTATTGTCATTTATGAAGACAGGTTTGAAATCTAAAGGAAAAGTAGAGATAGAACACCTGTTAAACGCGGAACAGTACTGGCAGACAGGTATTTTAGAAGGTGTTCCCGCATTAGAAGTGTGTGTGAAGCATTCTGAAGGATATGTCAAAATTTGTTTTTTGAATTTGTCGACATTTTCAAGGTTTAGCTCTGTTCTGCAGTTCTTAAGTAATTCTGCTGGGTAAGAAATGATCGGTTGTGTCCTTGCGTCGTAAGTAAAGAAGAATGAGTTCGGATCTTCAGTTAATCTCTGCAATTTCGGCTTTGTCAGCTTAATTTTCAGAGGATTCGACTGTTGGAATGGGAGTTTATTGACAAGATCTTTCACATTCCCTTTAGTTCTCTTGTTTCTTGTGAAAATATTCTTTCCAGTTGGAATATTCGAACAAATCTTCGCAGAAACGGTGGATTCGATCATTTTAGGACCAATGTTATTGATCGAATATGATACTTCGACACTTCCGAACGTGTGAATTAGAAATGATGCAGCTCCTGAAGGGATTTTGAAGGTAAATATATGGGTATTATGGTCGTAGATGCTTAATGTGCACGCGGATGGTTCGTAACAGAGCGTAACATCGTTAAATCCGTAGATACTTGGAACTGTATCGATTGGCAAACCATTGTAAAGGGCAGAACCATTACTTGAGAGCATGAACGTCTGTGATGATGAGTAATGGAGCGAAAACATGTGGATGCCAACGTGAAAAGCGGATTTTTTGTGGAAATCCAGGTGTAAATAAGTTGAATTCTCCGGACTTAACGGATCTGAAAGGAAACAATGTGCTCCTTTGTATGTAAACAGGTGGTTGTCAGTGACGTTCACCAGTTTATTGTCAGGAACTCCTGTCATTGCGCAATATAACAAGTGTGGCCTGAAAGAAGGCTGCTGTAGGAAGCCAAGGGAGTTTGAGGATAAATGGGCACTTAATATTCTTATGAAATCCTTCGAGTAATTGTGAAGACTGAACTTTTTGATCTGAAATTTTGTTCCTGTCTCCATGAAAGAGAGTAAAAACTTATGATCTGTGATGTATTCTTTCAAGGACTGAAGGATATAGAAATTCAAAGCTTCCGTGAAATATGAATCTGGATCTTCATTCAATGCTCTTGTAAAGAAAGGCATTAAATGCTCGTAATCTGGATACATGTCAGGAGTAAATGGAATTACGGACTTTGGAACTATAGATGGGGAATAAGGAATGGTTTCTATGTGATTATTTGGAGTAATTGGAGTTTGCCAGCCGAAATATTGCTGATTCTTGGGATCAATGTCAGTAAGATAGTATACAACGTTGGTGGAGTTGTCTTTTATCAAAGAAAATACATTAGGAATCGAAATTGAATTTGATAAAACAGCAAAAACGCCAAATAAATAGCGTTTATCTGTAAATTGCTTCATTTCTTCAGGTACATTGATATTAAATCCATTGCAGTTGTTGTACTGAAGTATAAAAGTGAAAATTGAGTGAACAATTTCGGCAGCTTCTGTTTTTGCAGTAATACAGAAGCGAATGACCCTTATCATCGCTGCGCAAGCAATCATAAGGATACCAGGAGTCTTTACCATCTTTGTATTCTCTTGAATTTCGGCTAATGGAGTGAAATCTCTCATAATTTGGGGTCTTCCGCCAGAAGCGATTGCGGATATCTCGCAGAGAAGCCAAGAAACGAGTTCCATCTTTTTGTTGGATGATTTAATGTACTCAAAAAGAAATGAAAACGCATTATGGAAAACTGCTGGCTGGATATGCTTTATGAAGTGGAGAATCATCTTTTCCTTGTATGGAAGTATCATTCCTGACCTCAAACATAATCTTGCGAGAGATAATTTTGAGATATTCAAAATTTTCTCTTTAAACAGCTTTTTGAGAAGAATCTCTGAATCTTCCTTTGAAATCTTGTTCTCTGAATCATGAATTATGGCGAACATGTTACAGGCCAAAATAGCAATGTAAGATTCAAGGGAAGTCTCTTCGATACTTATGTTTTTGGACAGTAGCAAGTCAAAGAGCTCGGAAATAGGCTCTAAAATTGATGATGGATTGTATTTTCCGACCATCATTAAAAGATTTGAATAAAAAACAATCATTAGATTCAGAACTACCGGGGAATCAACACTTGGCATAATCTTTCTGAGCAAATCCAGAAGTTTGAAGATGTTTCCAAAGCCATTTCTATCTTTATCTAATTTCATTGATCCAATGAATGAAACGTACTTCATAAATGATTCTGATCTGATGATCTTGTCCAACATGAAGGAAACAAAGTCAATATTCAAGTTTCTGTTCAAAATATCTGCAATAATATCAATTCCAAGCGTTATATTCTCTTTTACGCGTTGGATATCGCTTATCATTTGCAGACTGTGTTCAATTGTGAAGTCATCATTGATAAATTTGTGAAATACGTTTAAGATATCTTTATCCTGAGTTTTTGAAAGCGGAGAGATCATCAAAAGGAAGACAATCTTGTGTCTTATGTCCGAAAGCTTCTTAGAAAGCTCTTCTTCTGATCCAGCGATCAAAGATTGTTTAATTTGGTACTGAGTTCTATGAAGTTCATTAACGGCGTGCGTTAATTCCTTGAATTTGAGAGTCATTTGAGATTCTCTGTTCTCTTTCTTCGCAGCGGAGAAAACAATTAATTCATCCAATAAATCTAATTGTTTTGCAGCTGCAAAGAGGAAAAGGATATCATTTAACATGATATCATTATGTTTGTGCTTAGCAATCGCTTTGTTTTGGCGATTGAAAATGGAAATAATTAAATTTTCATTTTCTAGAATATATTGTGGATCTAAAGATGTTAAAAGGAATTTGACCTTCTCAGGATCATCTTCTAAACCAATCTGAATCAGTTCCTTTCGACTTTCATCAGAAGATTTTGGAGAAAAAATTAAATCGTATTTTTGTGGGAAACTTTCAAGGGTAATGTTGGTTTCTAATGTACCTCTGACAAGCCATAAGTAATTATCTGCATTATTTAGCTCGTTTCCACCGTTAATTAATGCAATAACAAATTCAATAATAATTGTGAAGATTTCGAAGAACAATGAGTAGAGGAAAACGAAACTGCTGTGATCATTATTATAAACATTGTTCAGATTTGCGATTTTGATGAGTTCGCTCGTTTTTACGAAAATTGGCTGCAAAAAGTACACAATTTTACAGGAAATCCTTGAGAATTTGGACAGTGGTTGAAGTAATAACAGCCATTTTCTGAATAATTGAACGAAATTTGAGAATTTCAAGGAATTTTCGTTATATTGAGCCATAACGTCATCAATAACCTTCGCAAACCTTTCGGACATCATCTTACAGTATTCAAAAAGTATATTCTGAAGGAATTTTTTGTCTTCTGGGATAGATTTCGGAAAATCTGTGTATAATTTTCTGGCAGAGATCATTAGATTCCTCTGGAACAACACCAACATCTCATTCTGGCTTTGCGTCATCTTGTGGGGCGTAGAGATCAAGATTTCGATCAAAGGAGAAATAATTTCGTGGCAAGTCTTATCTGTGAAGCATTGGATGAAGAATCTTTGTTTCTGGAGGAGGCGGAGGATGTAGAAGATGAAATCGGAGTTCTGCTGATAAATAATTGTTTTGAAAATATTTGCGCGTTTTTCTGGGTCATAATCTGAAAATAGAAGAGGGAATGAGGTACCAATAGTATAAGAAATGATTTGTTTGGCAAATGAGTATTTTTCGTTGTTGTAAAGTGAAGATAATAAATCAATAATTTCATTTAATGTATTTCTTTGTATTTTGTCGGCCATGTTCCTTGCACATATGTTTGCTAGGTTAAGTTGGAGCAGTCCGATCAAAGAAATCAGGAATACATCGTTTTGATTTGACTTAAATAAGTTTCTTTTGTCATTTTTTGCATTTATCGTCTCACAAACCGCAGAAATGCACTTAACCAAGGCTGTTAACATCTGTTCCGTGCATGGAATTAAGAAATGAGCTATGTCAGTGTTGAAATATTTTGTTAATAAAAGAGTTTTCAACTGGATTCCAACGGAATTGGCCGTGACGTACTCCAAGAAACGCGTAGAAGCCTTCACAAGCGTTGGAATGTTCTTAACTTTTTTAATTGACTTGATTACTGAAGAAAAAGTTGGAAATTCTTCGCCGTTGAGGCCTGTCAACCACTCAGCCTTCGATCCAAGCTTATGTAGTTTGACGAGAAACAGGTTTTGAGGTCCAGGAGAGATTGCCCACAAACAATTGTTCCAAGGATCGGAAGTTATGGCCACGATTGGGAGTTTGAGGCTGAATACGAGATCTCCAAGATGTTTGCCATCAATTAATGAGAAACTTCTTGAGAAATAGTCACATTTAGTTCCATTATTTTTAATTTGAACGAGAAAAACTAAAGAAGTACCACTGGCGTAGAACAAAGCTGTATCTTCCCATGGATCTGGTAATAATTCCTTCGAAAATGGGTTCAAAAGTGTTGTTCCTTCAAAATATGGTTCAATAATTCTTTCAACATGGACATTTTGCTTGTTTAAACTCAAAATACGTATCTTCTTTTTATGGTAGAAGTACATATAATGACCATCGCTAACAGTTCTGCCGTGAATCTTGTGAGAAAATTTGATATCTTGAATATCTTGTAAAGATTGGATTTTTATGATCTTTGGATGCTTGAGGAAAGGACCATTGATGATAATATGACCATTACTAACGCAAAGACTCAAATTTAACCTCTCTTCCTTTGGAATTTTGAGATCAAGTTTATGAAATCGAGATTCTATATTTGTAAACGTGTCAGAAAGTTTGATAATATGTAAAGTACAGTGGTGACCAAGTAAAAATATTGTTCTTCCATCAGAACTGATGATTGATGAAGGTTTCATGCCTTGGCTTTTACTTTGAGGAATGGAAACAGTTCCAATGATTGTAGAATCGAAGGGTAGAGTGATCGTGCTGCTGAAGGATAAGTGTTTTATGCAATTTTCAATATTCGACATTTTAAATTTTAATTTTGAATCGATTTTACTGGATGAAAGGGATAGAATTTTTGAAAGACCTTCGATAATCGCTGTAGAATCTCCAATTGTTAAACCCCATAAAATTTGTGGAACCGCACTTTGTTCTCTGAGTAAATTGGTGATTTCTTGATAGTTTGGATTAAATGTGTAATTAGAAATCTCTGTAGATTGCAAAATATTAAGGAATTTTGTGACATTTTGTACGACAGATTTCATTTCTTGGATGTTTATGGGAGTTCGTTCGGCATGCTTCATCAGAATCTTCGATAACTGCTCGTTTTCATTTTTTTGCTGATGCATTAATGAATTATATACTTCTTCATCAGCAATTAAGATGTTATCAGGCTTTGTACTGAGGAAGGTGAAAAATTCCGATAAAATATGGTGCATTGTCGATTGAGTCATCTCTGATGAAGTGAAGATTGGAGTGATAACTGAAATAAAAGCTTCACTTGGCGTTTGCGCTTGCGTAAATAGTAGAGGGTTTGAAACTATATCGACAATCAGATTTTCTCCGGGTAGTTTTACTTTGATCTGAGATGGAGTTTTTCTCTCTTGGAATAATTTTGAAGTAAATTCCTTAGAAAAAGCAATCTCGTCGAGTCCAACGTCAAAGACATTGTTAGTATAACGCTGAAAAATTTCATTTTTAGCGAAAACTACGTCCGAAGCCCGGGAAATACCCGGTCCCATGTAACTCCAGAAAAAATTTGGCGAAAATTTTTATTTAAATTTGGATAAAACTATCAAATATGCCATCCTCATTACATATATAATTGTTTGATTCAAGTTATGCATCAAAGTCGTTGATCTTGGCAAATTTTTATCATCAATTTTTCTTAATTTCGAAGATAGGTCATATAAAAATAGATTAAAAACGTAAACAAATAACATTTACTATTCCAATTTACGAAAATTTATACATTAGATGAACAATTGCCAAATACATCAAATCATGATTTCGTAGTATGACATTATTAAACTTTTGGGTCTACTTTAATTGGTTGCATTATGGGAACTTCCGGTTCACGTTTCATTTTCGATTTATTGAAATAAATGTCTATAGCAAAAGCTCTAAATATGATATCTAATGTAAACATACGATGTATTGATATTTTGCTGGATCTATATTAACTCTTTCCATATTTGTGGTTTCGAAATATTGAACTTTATTCGCTTCATAATGTTGTAATGAATCAGCATTGCTATTTACACGGAACCAACCAAAAATCTATAGATATTTCTTCTCAATAGATAAATATTAATCGAAATTCATATTGTATTTGGTATTTTTGACTGAATTATTAAATATCCGACACGAACAATGTGATCTGGTGCTGATATACTACTGTGTCATAATTTTACCAATATCAAATTCCATAAATCAAATAAGTTGTAATGGAAGATATTGAACGATTATTTTGAATTCAATTTCAAAGAGGAAGTTCCTCCAAAAATATTTTTTTCTTTCCCATATTCAAAGTAAATTTTTGTAAAATAAACAAAAATGTCATCGCCCGGGCGATTAGCTTTTATGGGCATTGACGTTGATTTTCCCTTTTCAACACCTTATCCTGCGCAGAAAGCCATTATGGCCAAAACAATGGTCGCTCTGAAGCAATCCGAAAACGCATTACTTGAATCACCAACAGGCACAGGCAAAACTCTTTCATTACTTGCATCATCATTAGGGTACCAGACATGGTTACAGAGTCAAAAGCCAGAACCTCCGAAAAAGATAGATCCAGCAGCATTGTACGGAGAAAAATACACAGAGCTTGATCCTGAGACAGAAGAAGAACCACAACTCAAAGTATACTACACAAGTCGTACGCACAACCAACTCTCTCAAGTCGTTTCGGAACTTAAACGTAAATTACCAACATATCGACCAAAAATGGCCATTCTCGCTTCACGTCAGCAACTATGTATCAACGACAACGTCAGAAACAAGCCAGATATCGATGCAGCGTGCAGACTCGAGCACGGAACGAAACATAATTGTGAATTTGGCAAAAGCATGACAATACCACGTTCTATGATGCCAGATGGTGAATACAGCAAATACGACATCGAAAACCTCATTGATGTCTGTCGAGAAGAAGTGAAATGTCCGTATTTCGTCACTCGAAATTTGGCCAAACGCGCTGAGTTCATTTTAGCACCGTACAACTACATTCTTGATGGCCGGATACGAGGTACAATGAAAATAGAACTCGCAAACTCAGTTGTTATATTCGATGAAGGACATAACATCGAAGGAATCTGTAGAGACGCCGCAAGTCTCTCTCTCGACTACAAAGAAGTTTCTTACATACAAGGATACATAGCAACACTCGCACAACGTGAAGATATGAGATTACAAATAGGAAATACATTGTTTCAACATTTTCTGAGTATCGGGCGGTTATTTGACAAAATTTTTGAATGGTTTACACGGACGATAGAAGAATCACCATGGGAACAGAACAGAAACAGGCAAGAAACATTTTTCCAGTACCAAGATGTCGAAATGATCTTGAGTGGCTGGACATTGAACAAAGAGAGATTTGTTTTGTACAAAGAAGACATGGAAGAAATCATTTCGGCCAATGAAAAAACAACAGGAGATCAAGATTCAATTATTCCTACAATTGTTGCTGCAATTTTAGGGAAAACATTGACAACTTTGAATTTCATTTATACAAATGATTCAATCTGTGATTTTCGATTAATTATCACTGATTACGAGAAAAACAAAGAAGAAATTAATCCGAAATTAGAATTATTGTGTATGAGTCCTGGTGTTGCTTTTAGATCAATTGTTGCTAAAACACATTCAGTGATTATAACATCAGGAACATTGAGTCCTTTGACACAATACGAATCAGAATTAAGAACAAAATTCACTCACCAATTATCTGCTAAACATGTCATTGATCCTTCACAAGTTTTATCTATGATTATACAAAGAATGGATGGAGTAGAATTAACAAGTACAGCAAAATCATTAAATAATAATATCTACAAAAAATTGGGTGATATCGTTTTAACTATCGTTCAAAAAGTGCCAGATGGAATACTCTTATTTTTCCCAAGTGGTTCAACAATGCGGAAATGCCTTGAAATATGGAGATCAGAGAGTTTGTTGTATGAAATACAGAAGTTTAAACCTGTTTTCAATGAAAACAGCGGAAATAAGAAAAAAGGAGAAGGAGATGCGTTTAAAGAATACAGATCATCAATTAACAAAGGAAAAGGTGGTTTATTGATAAGTGTTTGTAGAGGAAGAGTCAGTGAAGGTACTGATTTCGCAGATCGACAAGCGAGATGTGTTATTATATTTGGAATTCCTTATCCTTCTTTGTATGCTCCTGAAATTATTTTGAAGAGAAATTATAATGATGACCACGCGAAACAGAAAAATGTTGAGTTTGCTACTTCTGATGGAAGTGAGTGGTATTCTGCTCAAGCATTCAGAGCATTGAGTCAAGCAGTCGGTAGATGTATAAGACACAAGGATGATTATGGATCAATTATAATGATTGATTCAAGATTTATGCAGGAAAGATCGAAATTTCCAAGATGGATGCAGGATGGATTGAAAAGAAATCCAATCACTTCTTTGAGTGAACTTGGTGGTCAACTCGCAAATTTCTATCAGGATATGACAATGAGATTCCCAAATTCCGCGCAAATCATAGAAACTGAGATAAATGAAACGGAACCGTTAGTTGTAACTCACTCAGATTGTCTCTCAAAAATTGTAAGAGTGACAAAAATTGACAAAACAAGTTCATTCAATTCTACTTCCTCTGTACTCAGAAAATACTTCCTCGGTCAAAATTCAGAGAATGAATCACAGGAACCTGTTGTTTTGGCAAGAGTTGGTCCAGGAGAAACATCATTGATTGAAGGAAAGAAAATGAACTACGAATGGAGTTATGAAGATGGACTTGCTTTTGAACCAATTTGCTGCACTTGCGGACAAATTATTGGAGTACATATTAAAGGTTCGTTGGAAGCACCTGACAAAGTCAAACACATTAAATGTGACTGGTTCTTTGTCGACAAATGCAATGTCACACAGAAGAGTTTGAGTGAAAAAATGAGTAATATTGTTATTAGACCAAAAGTGATTTCTATGAATGATTCGCCTGTCATTGCCGGCGGACAGAAGACTTTATCTTTTGCTTAATATATTTTATATTAATGTTTGTTTTGTTTATTGTTTTTTTGTTGTTTGAATTTAAAACTTATACTTTTACATTAATTAAGATGTATCAAAAGCAATAAGTATGCACGTAGGTATCTTTATTATTGAAAAATTATAAATGTTTAGATTCAGTAATAAGTATTATATCTTTTTGTTATTAGCACCATGCAAAAGAAGAAGTTCAGCTATTCCTTTTTTATATCTCGTTATTGCAATATGATAAGCAGTTTTTCCATCATTATCTTTATCATTGATATTTGCGCCATGTGAAAGAAGAAGTTCAGCTATTCCTTTTTTATATCTCGTTATTGCAATATGATAAGCAGTTTTTCCATCATTATCTTTATCATTGATATTTGCGCCATGTGAAAGAAGAAGTTCAGCTATTTCTCTACTATTATCAAATGTTGCATAATGAAGAGCATTTTATCCGTGTATCTTTTTCACTGATGTTTGCGCCATGCGAAAGAAGAAGTTCAGCCATTCCTCTATTATATCTATTTTCTGCAATATGATAAGCAGTTTTTCCATCATTATCTTTATCATTGATATTTGCGCCATGTGAAAGAAGAAGTTCAGCTGTTTGCAATCTGTTATACCAAGCTGCATTATGAAGAGCAGTTTTCCCATTATTATCTTTTTCATTGATATTTATACCATGTGAAATAAGAAGTTCGATTATTTCTTTATTATTATTATTCCATGCTGCAATATGAAGAGCAGTTTTTCCGTGCTTATCTTTTTCATTGATATTTGCACAATGTGAAAGAAGAAGTTCAGTCATTCCTTTATTAGATCTATATACTGCAATATGAAGAGCAGTTTTTCCGTGCTTATCTTTTTCATTGATATTTGCGCCATGGGAAAGAAGAAGTTCAATGAAATCTTTATGATTCGTTTCTGCTACATAGTGAAGAGTAGTTTTTCCATTATTATCTTTTTCATTGATATTTATACCATGTGAAATAAGAAGTTCGGCTGTTTCTTTATTATTATTTTTGCTGCGATATGAAGAGCTGTTTCTCCATCATTATCTTTTTCATTGATATTTATACCATGTGAAATAAGAAGTTCGACTATTTCTTTACTATTATTCAATGCTGCAATATGAAGAGCAGTTTTCCCGTGCTTCTCTTTTTCATTGATATTTGCACAATGTGAAAGAAGAAGTTCAATGAAATCTTTATGATTCATTTCTGTTGCATAGTGAAGAGCGGTTTTCCTATCATCATTTTTTTCATTGATATTTATACCATGTGAAAGAAGAAATTCGGCTGTTTCTTTATTATTATATGCTGCAAGATGAAGAGCTGTTTCTCCATCATTATCTTTTTCATTGATATTTATACCATGTGAAATAAGAAGTTCGGCTGTTTCTTTGCTATTATATTTTGCTGCAATATGAAAAGTAGGTTGTCCATTTTTATTTTTTTCATTGATATCTGCACCATGTGAAATAAGAAGTTCTGCTATTTCTTTGCTATTATATATTGCTGCAAAATGAAGAGGGGTTTGTCCGAAAATATCTTTTCCATTAATATTTGCACCGTGAGAAAGAAGAAGTTCGGCGATTTCTTTTTTATTTAATGATGCTGCGATATGAAGAGCTGATTCTCCTCTGAAATTTAGTTTATTGATATTTATACCATGTGAAAGAAGGAGTTCGGCTGTTTCTTTACTATTTTTCCTTGCTGCAATATAAAGAGCGGTTTGTCCCTCAAGATTTGTTTCATTGATATTTGCACCATGTGAAATAAGAAATTCAGCTGTTTCTTTATAATTATTTTTTGCTGCATAATAAAGAGCAGTACGCCCGTCAAAAATTTTTCCATTAATATCTGCACCAATTGAAAGGATGTTTTCACATAAGGATGGGATTTCAAAAATTGTTGAATAAACAAAACATTCATTAATTTTACTTGTTTGATCTAAACAAACCAAAAAGGGTTCAAGATTTTTATATTTTCCGCAATATTTTAATTCGATTTCTATATTGTATTCATTCATCAAGAATGTAACAAAATCAATGTTGTGTGAAATTATTGCATATCTCATGTGATCTTTATCTGGTTTTTGATATTTCAAACATTCACTCATGAACTCTTGATTTCTGCCTAGGAATGAAAATTTGAGACATATTCGAGTTATTACTGAGTTAAATTCCGTTCTTAAGTACTTGAAACAATCAACTGCCCCATAGTAACAACATAATTCAAGTAACGAATATCCTCCATCATATCTAGGATATAAACTGCTTCTTAGTTTTTGATCCTTATTAAATCCTTCTCTTTATGTGTATGATATAAATAGCTCTTTGTTATTATCCATAATTGCTTTGTAAATTGTATCTTCCGAAAGGATATCAAGATTTTCTAATTTAATTGTTTCGAAATCAGCTAATGTATCTAATTTAATTCCATATTCTTTATAAAAGAGGAAGTTAGAAATAATTGGTATATTTCTGACTTCTTTGATGTGATAATCATCAGATATGAGTTTCGAAAGTTCCAAATATGACTTTGCATAACGATTATTATATGGAATGATATTTAAAATGTCGCTTATAATAGTTTGTGGGCGACATTTCTTTGATTCAATCAAATTTGTTTTGATCATTTTGTAAATCGAGTTTAGTTCTTCTGCATTTTTCGTTTTTAACTGATACAACGCATTATATGAATCAATATGATATGAATAGATATCTCTCAATTCACTGTATTTATTTTTTTTAATGACTTGAGTAGACATGAAAAAAATTTTAACGGTATCGTTTTTAACTGATACAACGCATTACATGAATCAATATGATATGAATAGATACCTCTCAATTCACTGTATTTATTTTTTTTAATGACTTGATCAGACATGAAAAAATTTTTTTAACGAAGGATTATTATTTTCGTCTGGAAAAGTGACAAAATTATCATTTTCGTCTGACGAAAATGATAATTTTTTATTTTCAGGGTCATGCTAAAAAGATAAATTTATGAGATTGCAATGCAATGATACCTACTTGAATTGCAATGCATCTATTAGGAAATTTTGGTGAAAATAAATTGAATAGTTTGAGTTTATGATTTTGACTTCGCTAAAAAAATTGACTGGAAAATCACAAAAATTGAAACAATTTGAAGTTGGAACTAGAATGATAACATGCACAAGGAGCTATTAAATATAGTTGTGTATGGGTAGATTGCGCTTAAATTATTAGAAATAGAGTTATAGTTCAATAATTCAGAAGCCAGACGAAAATGACAATTTTGTCACTTTTTCCAGACGAAAATGATAATGCCCCTTTTGCTACTAGATTTAAGGATGAAATAATGAAAATACTTGATGAATACGGTGATCAAATCTGTTTTGCTTGATACTTAAGTTTATTTTCTAATCGATCTCTATTGTGACATGGGAATCTCTGCATTATTATGACAAATTTCTTTCCATAAAGAATATATTTCTCAAGATCACACTCGAGTTTGAGTTGCATGTAAAACTAGAAAAAAAGTCAAGTTATTTACCTCTATAAATTCTATATTTATTCAAACAAATATATGAATAAGAAATTTAATTTTCTTAATTTCATAAAAAAAAAAATACAATTATAACATCATTGTAATATATGTTATGGTCTCATTTCAGTGGACCTTGCTTAAATTTCAGATACATCAATCCTTCAAAATATCCGCAAATTTTTGCTTTTCTATTCCATTCCCAAGGATTTTTATGTTTATAAAAGTAGTGATAATAGCAGCGATACTTTCTGTAGTAGTGGTTGTTGCTTGTCGTTGTTTTTTTGTATGGTTTATCCCAATGATAAAAATGGAATATTTTACTTTGAGAAAAGTTGAGGAACTGTTCATTATATCTATGGTCTTCAAGGATTTTATTGTCTTGGAATAGTTCGTTTAAAGCTGTTTGATCATTCAGCCAATATTCTTTTGTTTCTTCATATTCTTTAAGTAAATCTATTAGCTTTTGTAGCATATTGTCTTCTCGATATTTGGCTGCGTTGAAAACTATGGCTCCTCCGTTAAAATAATTCGGCATTCCATCTGTAAAGTTTGTTCAATTTAAAACAGTAATAGCGTACGTATTTTCGAAATCTCTGTAATAGAACTTATCAAAGTTGTTGATAACTAGAGTATCTGCGTCAAGACTAATAAATCTGTCGATTTCTGGATGATTTGGGCTAAAAACTGTTTTGATATATGCTTCGTATGTGGAACCATTAAATACTTTTTTGGTTAGGTAAGTTGTATTATGGAATTCAACAATAAATTTGACGTGATCGATTTTAATTTCGTTTAATCTGTTTTGAAACTTTGTGACTTCTTCAGGATGTGTTGTACAAACATAAATAGTGAGATAATGATTGACCATAATATTAATAGCGGAATAAATAGCAGCACCAAGCTTATTTATATTACCAGACCAGCTATATACTAAATTTAAATTTGGGAATAATCTAGATTTGATTCTTGGGTAGCGAAATAAAGAAAAAACAATTAAGATGTGGATAGTAAGCAATACTATTCCTCCTGAGAGTGAATGATCTTTTCTAAAAGAATACTCTTTAATGAATTTGGTGTTATGATCAATTCGTGGAGAATTGAGCATAATATCAAATTCAATAAATTTTCGAATGAAAAAAAAGTGGATTAATCATTTTATTAATTTTTTGATAGAACTAAGAAGTGCATCTAACAAAACACAACAAACCATTCTCATTATTTGTATTTCAAAAATTAATTATATTATGGGATCAACCTTATGACAAATTAATGTATTGGTACTATGGCCGAGTGGTCTAAGGCGATGGATTTAAGCCCCATTACCGCGAGGTGCCTGGGTTCGAACCCCAGTGGTACCATTTTTCTTTTTTCTTTTTTTTCTTTTGAAACTTTTTTATTCCGGCGATCAAGGTTTAGTAATCCCTAATATATATCATAATAGTTTTCAACTATATATAATCAAAAGAACATCTTTACCCTTCGAAATTATTATTCAATCTTTTTTGAATTCAGTGGTTCAACGTTCAAACTCAATGATAAAAATCTATCAATATTCTGGAAACATCTCAACATAAGAATCAGTGATGACTCTGTACTTTTCAAATTGATTGTTTTTAAAGATTGATTTATTTCATGCATATAGCATATCTAATAATAATAGCTTATCGCACATCTTATCCTCTGTTGTTTAGTAAGATGAGTTTAGAATTGTGTAAACATTACCAAAATGATCTTAAATTTCCTTTAGTAGTCATTAGAAGCATCCTATTGATCTTATTTATCATGCGATATTGAAAATTATTCACTAAATAGTCATTTGTTGAAAAACAATATTCATTGTCAAAAAGGACAATGATTTCCAAAGTCTTTGAAACTGCAATACAACGGAATATCGAAGCAGTATTCTAAATTTTCTAGGCAATTAACAACATTTCAACCGAAGGGATTATCACCTCATAAAATTTGCTTACAATTCAAACTATCGGTAAAGATCACCCATTAGTCGCCTTAAACCCAACGTAAGGGGAAAAACTATGTTCATATATTACTATTATGAATAGCAATGGAGATTATTAATGACAAATTCATACACGTTTTCTTTACTCATTGATTTTACAAATTGAATTAAAGATTGGCCCATTATCTCTCAGAAAAAAATGTCAAAAAAGGGTGTTCATTAAAATTCCTAATTTCCTTGAAAATCCTTTATATCATAATCACTAGACCAGTGCTCAATTTAATCATAAAACAGAAATCTATCGTCATATCTTTTGAATTTTTTACGCAATGAATTGACATTCATATATATGCCACATAGAATATTTTTCAATTTGGTTCTCCAAAATTGAGAACCTAAATTGAAAATCAATTTCTATTTTTTAGCAAGATGGAAGATCAGCATGAACCTGTGGTGATTCAAGTAGAGGAAGAAGCTAATGTAGATGCTTCCAACTCATACTCATCAACAACAGAGAGTAAGAAAGACTCTGATGAAAAGAATGATAAAGAAAATCCAGGTGAAAGTCTGGATAACGACAAAGAGGATGAAGAATTTAATAAACATAGAGTCGGTCGTTTTGTAACTGTTATCAATCTTTTGAACTCCCTTCTTGGAGCAAGTATCTTTTCACTTCCAGGAAAATTCAAAGAGGTTGGTATTATTCCATCAATAGTTCTCTTGGCTATTGCTGCATATGTAGCTTATGTTAGCTCTAATATTCTTGTTCGTTTGCAAAAGGAAGTCAATGGAAAAGGATTTGATGATATATCCCTTAAGATTTTTGGACGTATCGGTCAAATATTTGTATCAATCATCTCATTAGTATTCTGCACAGCAAGTTTAGTTGCATATATCGTTATCGCATGTGATGTTATACAGCAATGGTTCGTTCTCAAAGGTATCAAAGTAACATACCTTGCACGTGTCGGTATCACATTTGTTTACAGTATCTTACCGATTTCGTTATCAATCCCAAGATCATTGAAATTCTTATCGTATTTCTCTTCACTAACCATTGTAATCATGATCTTCTATTCCATTGTTGTTATTATTAGAGCACCAAAGATCATTCCACACCAGGATTTCAAGCATCCAAACTTTACAGTTGGTAAATTTGGTTTTGGTCTCTTATCAGCTCTTTCTATCTGCTTCCTTAACTTCACATTACCTATTACAACACTACCAATCATAGAGAAGTACAACAAAGACCTCAAGAAGAGAAGTGTTGCTTTGGCATTTACTTGCATTGCATGCTTTACTTTGCTTGCTATTCCAGGTGTACTTGGATATCTCATGATCTTCGAAGTTAACTCTTCAGAGTTGATTTTCTCATATGAAAAGTTCCAGAAGGATGTATTATTCAACATTGTCAAAGGCGGTTGCTTGGTTGCTGTGTTATATTCATATCCAGTATTCATCAAGCCAGTCATTTGCTCTTGGTCGCAGTTCTTCTTTAAAGAGAATGATGCTTATGATCTCTCGATTCCTAAATTGGCATGCGTTCATGTAGTTTCTCATACAATTCCTGTATGTGTTGCAGCGTTTTATCCTAAGGTAATGACTATTCTAGACTATTGCGGTTCATTCGGCTGCTTGATTGATATTCTTGTACCGGCTTTACTGTATTATGTACATTTCAAGCCATCATTCAAATCAATATCGTTCTGGTGGTCATGGGCGCTTATAATTTTAGGTGCCTTCCTTGCAATTACAACAATTGTTATCAATGTTAGGAGCGCTATATCATCAAATTAATTAGAATAAATATCTATCCATATAGTTTGCGGTAAAATGTGCGAAACGTCTTTTTTTATTATGTAGAAAATTATCTTCGGAAAATTATTCTTGTTGGTAATTTCTGCCCAAAAGTTTTGATATGCTTTTCATGGGGTGTAGTGAAACTTCCTTGTTTTTCCAAAAACGTGTAGATTCTTGAGCTGGCTGATATCAAATGAAAATTCTGACATCATTATGGTACTCTGATGATATATTAGTTAATGGAAACTAAGTAATATAATGCGAAATCCTTGAGCGAATCGATTAATTTGGACATATAAGATGTTTGAATTAAGGATTTTTGCTTTTTAAAAACATCGAAGATATCACATCGTCTTACTAGACAACATATTAGCATTAAAGTTGTAAATGGACAATTTCTTACTAGATCGGAATTGCGATTTATAAACAATTGGAAATATCTATTGAAAAACAAATCAATCAGAGCCAGTGCTTGCTTCTCAATATTAATATCGATTTATTGGCTCGTAGCATATATCTTTTGTAAACTTTGAAAGAATGATTTCAAGGCAAGTATCGTTTTATCCATAAATTTTATTATAAATAGAATCCTTGCATAGTAATAGACCTTTTCTTTATAGTTGTTCACCTGTCAACCTTGTTTCCAAAAAATCCGAAAACTCAATAAATATTGTTCTAAAAGGCATGCTAATAATTTTTTAATCACAAATCATCACAATTCTTAGACATCATCTTGATTTGAATACTAATCTGACAAAACAGACGATGAACTTTTATCAATTTGCTATTTGGAGAAATAAAAAGTCATTGCATATCAGTAATCATATCTAGCTATATTGTTTGTTTAGAATTTCGTTTCTGAATGATTCCACGGTTTTTCAGAAATTTTGAATATTGTTTAATTTACCCTCAATATTTTCTGAAGCCCTAATCGTACACTTCACCTCCTCATTTTTCAAACTTAGGGATGAAGATTGGTATTCCTAAAGAGATCAAGGATCATGAATTCCGTGTTTCCATTACACCATCTGGTGTTCAAGAATTCGTTGCCAATGGCCACGAAGTCTACATTGAACACAATGCTGGTCTCGGCAGTGGCTTCCCAGATGAGATTTACGTCTCTGTTGGCGCAAAGATCCTCCAGACAGCTAAGGAAGTCTACGACATCGCTGATATGATCTATAAGGTCAAGGAACCAATTGGCCCAGAATACGAGATGATCCATGAAGGCCAGATTGTTTTCACATACTTCCACTTCGCTTGCGAGAAGGAATTAACAGAGGCTATGATCAAGCGCAAAGCTATTTGCATTGCCTTCGAAACAGTTCGTGGCCCAGATGGCAGATCCCTCCCACTTCTTGTCCCAATGTCACAAGTTGCTGGTAGAATGTCTGCTCAGGAAGGTGCTCGCTTCCTCGAGAGACCACAGGGTGGCAAGGGTATCCTCTTATCAGGTGTCCCCGGAGTCAAGCCAGCTAACGTCCTCGTTCTTGGTGCAGGCACAGTCGGCTACTTCGCTGCTCTTTCTCTTGCTGGTATGGGTGCTCAGGTTACAATCACAGATGTTTCCATCCCAAGATTAAACCAGATCAGAGACTATCTCCCATCCAACGTCTCTACACTTTACAGCACAAGATTCAACATTGAGCAGGAACTTCTACATGTTGACTTAATCATTGGCTGCGCTTTGATCCCAGGTTCAAAGGCTCCATATCTTATCACAAAGGATATGTTGAAGCTCATCAGAGATGGCACAGTTATGATCGATGTCGCCATTGACCAGGGTGGCTGCTTCGAATCATCCCATCCAACAACCCATACTGATCCAACCTTCATCTACGAAGGCAAGGTTCACTATTGCGTTGGCAACATCCCAGGTGCTGTTCCATTCACATCAACACCAGCTCTTGCTAATGCTACATTCCCATATGCCCTCCAGATCGCTAACTTGGGCTGGGAAGCTGCTTGCAGAGCCGACAAGGGCCTTGCTCAGGGTCTTAACATCGTCAACGGTAAGGTAACATTCAAGGGTGTTGCTGATGCTTTCAACCTTCCATTTGAGCCATGGGCTTAAGCAACCAAATTTAGATTTTTTTAGTTTAAACTTCGATTTTCATACAAACACTTCCTATTTTTAATCCATTCTAAGCAATTTGATACTGCAGAAAGTTTAGCAGTTCATGATTCAAGATTTTCATGCTTAATATTAATGACTTTATTGAATATGATCAGATTAGATGCAGGTTACAAAATACAAACGATTTGTATATCCAGCCGTATACTATGAGTGAAAAGATCCGTCCGAGTAAGATAGTTCGCAAAATATACGTTATTTCAGGAAAAAAAATATTCACATGAACATCTTCAAGCAGATTTTTCTCAGTAATATAACGTCAAACTATCTTTAATTGTGGAGAGAAATGGAAGTTTTCTTCATGTATAGTAGTTTGATACTTAGTTTTTACATTAATGTCTGAAACAATGTTGGCATATATTCAATTTAAAATCGATATCAGAGATGTTTATTAAGAATATATCCCATCGTTTGACATCTTACTCTCATGAAAATTTGCCAGATTGTTTTCGAGAAAAAGTCCTCGATTACCATGTTAGGAGATTGATCTAACTTCATTTATAAAGATAATGCTAAATATGGAAGCATAGATGTAACAATTAGACTCCAAATATTACCGTTATGCTAAAAACAAGATTTTACAAATTTGTTAAAATTCACTCAACAAGTTGAAATTCCAGTAACAAAGCAAAATCAATCTGAGATGAAAACGGGAATATTACGCATATATCTACTAAAAACCAATATAAAACAAATATATAATAAAAATTCGAGATCAATGCCGCGAATTGCGACAAATAACTTGAATATGTTGTCTTATGTTACTTAGAAAAAGTAGTGTACATAAAGATCCTGAAGTGGAACCTTTTGAATATGCTCAAATAAAATTCTTTACTAAAACTTTTTCTTTTTTTGAAATAAATATATTCTGAATCATCTTTTAGAATAAGTTATTTCACGAATATCATGAAATATGTAAAAAAAAAATTAATTCAAATAATAATTCAAATAATCCGAAATGTATAAGGACAAAAAGGAATATTTTAGAACAAGCATCAAATATAAATAATGTTTACAATTCCAAATTTTTTCAATTTTTCAAATTTCCATTGAAAATTTGTATTTCTTATCTTGATTTTTAAAATTTTGAGTTTTTTTTGGAATTATAAATTAAGATTTGAGATTCATAATATAGATGGTTGTTGTCGTGTATGCGAATGTGTTCGTTTCATTTTCATAGTTCTGAATTTTTTCATGTTTTATGATGAAATGTCCAAGCAAATTCAGGTTTAAATAGCATATTTAAAGACATATTACACAAATTTACATTTACTTCATTATAATATATTGAATTAGAAGATGCATAATATGATAATATCATTCTTAGGATCCAATATATTTTCAATTTTCTTGAAACTACAACTTCTGTAATTATGAGTTAAATATGGAAAACATATCACAAATATCTAGTAGATGATATATCATTCATTCTCGAAACATGAGTATGTAAGGAAAAATTCTCGAAATGTTTCCAAAACAAATAATAATGCAAAGAATACACTCTAAAATCGATTGATGGTATGAATATGTTTATTTACAGGTAAAATAATCTAAAATAAATTTTAATTAAATTATCTGGAAATCATCCTTGTAGTTTGCTTCCATCCTTCGTCTATTAGTCATCAAGTATCTGTATAATCTAAATGCATTGCCAAAATCTAGAAAGCATTGTCCAAGATTCGCCAATGGGATCACAAAATATAAACGTACGCTTATTTTGAGTTCTCAATTTTTAATTACAGCAAGCCATACATGCTTAAAGGCTTTATGAACGAATACAGAGAAAATTCAATCACCATAAATTTTTTGAATGCCTTCCCAAAATGAATGATGAAGAATTTATTGATTTTGTTGCAGATTTCTTGTCTTCTGACGATTGGGTTGTTCCAACAATAGATTTCATGATGAGTAACTGCTCTTCCTTTAACGAAAGTAGCTACAATTCACTTGAAGAATATAAAATTTATTTACAATATACCGATCTTCTTGAAAATATCATAACTAATACACTGTGTACAGATATTGGTGTTTCATTCGAAGAGTTTCAAAGTAAAATTATATCGAATTACGATCTTCAAAATTATAGAGCAAAAACAATTACAGAAAGCATTTCAAAATCGCTCGATTTTTCAAAATTCAAAGAAGATATGCTTCGGTATAAGGAAGATTTAGAAGAGGAAGAAGAAATTATTGAACCTCCAGAAAATCTTGATTATGAAACACAAGCTTCATTCATTTTAGGATCCGAGGTACCTCAAAACACATTTAAAGTAACGCCTCCTTTACCAAGACAAGAAGATACAACATTCAAAATTAAACCTCCTGATTTTCAAAAACGATCTCGAAATATTCGTGCAAAAATTCTACAAAGGAAGAGAACCAGTAAGCAAGCAGAGATAGTTAAGCCAAATATGAATGGAAAAATATCCTACATTCGAAATCAAATTAATACCATGCAAAAGTATCAACCACAAATATCAGCCTAGAATAAAATGTTTGAATATATTGCGCTTTTTAATTTTAATTATATTTTTTTTATCTGCTTGAGATCTGCTTGAGAAGTAGTCTTGAATATAGCTGCCATACAATTGAATTTTATCAATACATTCGCAAAAAAGAGTTTGAAATGGTTAATTTTATCTTTTGAAAAAGAAAAATTACTTCTATTCAATAAGAGTAGTGTCTTATGATAGACAGAGATATAAATATGATTATCACTTACATTTTGATGCCCGCATTGCAATATGCTGTTTACCAGATGAAGTATGTATTACTGTTGAATAACATTAATGTGATAAACATGTAGTGTGTTGGAAGTTCTTGTTGTGCGTATGGTAATTAAGAATCAGTACAACAACACGCTCTCAATTTTTAATTGAGACCCAGTAGATCGTTCAATATTTCAGAATGATCTGAATTTATAAAAACGATGAATCTTTGGTCTTTATTTATTCCTTTTAGTTCCAGCAAATTAATTGCACGTGGAATCTGTTCCATTAACATAGAAGGAAATGCTTATGATATTAACAGCCTCGGATCTGTTAAATCTTTCACATATGAAGATTCAACTTATTATTTCAATCTTTGTGGAGCACTTAAGCCATCAGATATTCCTGGTGCAAATGAATCTGCCTTTATTGGCGGAAATATAATGAAAAAAGTCGGAGATAAATATTACACAACCAATTTCATTGGCCAGTTTGACTTTGGAGAAATATTACCAGGCGTAATGTACTCAGCTGATGGTGAACCAAGAAAGGAAAACGATGAATATAAAGCTACAGACTTTGATATCTTTATCAAATGCGATCAAAACAGTGAATCAACCGAATTTGGTGTCTCAAAGTGGTTTGCTGATAGTACAGATCATTTTACACTGAACTTTACACATAAATCAGGCTGCAAATCTGAAAAACCAAAACCAACTCCAACACCAACATTCGAACCTATCTGTGACTTCCAATCACGCTGGGATATAGACCCTAACTTAGGTATTGATGCTCATTTCGGATCTGTTGATGGTGGCCCATACGGAATTATTACACCAATTTCAATCAATGACAGCAAGGGAATCCTTTATTACAAGCCATGTGGAAGAATGGAATGCCCTCCTCAATATACATGCGAAGATAGTGAATATTCTTCAGCATTTATTTGCCCAGTGGACCAATCGTCCCGTGATTGCCAGAATTTCGGTGTCCAACAGCATTGGAAGTCTGCCATTTCACTCTACAGTAATAAGGAAAGTGATGGACTCTTAATTACTTATGAAAATCAGTATAAGAGCAAACTACACATAACCGACACCGGAATCCTTACATACCCAGAAGGTCATATATTAATAGATGAACAAGCCACTCTTGAAGGTGATACAATTTTATTGAATGGTAAATCTCATGAAGCAGACATTGTCCAGCTCCCAATTCCTCAACCAACAGGCGAAAAGTGCAAGTTAAACACTTCACTTCAGGAAGTAACTCTTAATGTTGATCTTTCCACATTAAATGGCGGAGAAAACGGCCACAACCGCGATGTTAATGTTGAAGGAATGGTTGGCATTAATAATGCAACCATTTACTACCAGCCATGTGGTGCTTTGGCTTGTCCGAAATCATCCGAATGTGGAGGTATCGAAGATTCCACACTTTACTTCTGTTTCGATGAAGGCAGATGCAGATCATACGGTATCTTCGAAAATAACCTCACTTTCACACTTACTGATCCAACAGATCTTAACAAAGGATTCAGAGTTAACTACTACGGTATCCACAATATGGCCCAAGTTGTTTATAAATGCGACCAATCAGTAGGTGTTGACGAACTTCGTATTGATCCAACAGTCAGATTTAACGGAACAACATTAGTTTTACAAGTATCAACACCAAATGCATGTTCCAACACTCCGACACCACAACCAACACCAGTTCCATGGAGACTTCCAAAGCTACAACAGTTAAGTCCACTTCCAACACCAATGAAGTCACCAAATCCAGTCAACATCATTCAGAATGAGACACATTATTTGTCAGCTGATTTGAACTTCTTTGAAGACGCAATTCTTTCTAAATCCGGACCAATTAAATACAGATCTAACTCAGCTGATTTCGAATTGAGATACAATCCATGGAATATATTAGATTGCCCAAGAGAAATCGGTATCTGTCCAATCGGAAGAAACACAGCAAATGCTTATGGCTGCTCTAAATCTGATGATGACAATTCATATTGCTGGCCATATGGTAATATCATATATGATGCTGAAGCAAGATTATACGGACAAAGACTTGAAGATGGTCTTGAATTGAGATATAACTCAGAATACGATACAAACTTCAAACTTTTGTTACAATGTGATTTAAAGACACCATATAATCTCATTACATTAGATGAGAACAAACAAATCGAATACCAAGTTTCAAGTGAAGGAAAATCTATTTTAGCTCATGGCTTAGCGCAGAATGCTTGTCCACGTGAATTTGCCTATAATAGATTACCTGAGACACCTTCTCCAACACCAACACCAAGAACAAGAAGACAAGAATGCTTCAAATACGCATCTAAACCATTTTACAAGAAATACATGGAAATTGATCTTTCCAAATTTAAAGATCATGATGAATATGTTATTCTTCGTTCTTCACCTGCTTTCATCAAGGCAGAATTGCAAATTGACTTGGATCAGCCAAGATCATGCAAAGGAGATGTCTGTGTTGGCGGTGGAACAACAAATATTTGGAAATGCATTACAAATGAAGGACAAAAGAAGTGTTACGGCGTTGGTGATGCAAGAATCTCTTTAGATTTCTATTCAACAAGAGACTTCTTAAGAGGTATTACAGTTACATATGGCGGTGGCTATGACAACTATAGTACAAGAATCAATTTTGTATGCAATGAATCAGTTCCAACTGATGAAGTTGATTTCGATGATGTCGGATTCGAAGATGATAAAGTCATCACTTTAACTGCACATACAAATGCTGTTTGCACAAAGAAGTATGAAGGAGATGTTCCAACACTATGTCCAGATCCATATGAACCAGATGTAACTCCAACACCAACTCCAGCACCAACACCTTCATCAAAGATTTCTGGTGGAGGTATTTTCTTGATCCTTGTTTTCATTCCTTTACCTATTTACTTCCTTATTGGTGTCATTTTCAATCTTGTTGTTTATCACACTGTTTCTATCTTCCACAAGAATTTCTGGCTCGAATTCGTTGCTTGCGTTCAAACAGGATTCATGTTCATTGTATCTTGTGGCAGAGTTACAGTTGTTGGATCTGGAAAATACGAAGAAGTTTAATAAAAATATAGTTTCTTTTTTTTCTTACTCTTTTACTTCAATTTTTTTTAATATAAGCTTTTCAATCTCGTCATATAAAGAGCTTATAAGGAAAACTCATATGGAAATATATACTCATACTATTATGCTATTCACACCGAATGCAAACAAATCAATCTGTGTGAAAATTAAGGATATTTTGCACAAAATTTAGTCCTGTGAAATGATAACAGCTATTAGTACTACGTCTGCTAATATAGAATCATATGGTTATCATATGCTCATCATTATAATTGTGGTGTTACTCTTTTTACCTAAATTTTATGAATGAGTAATGCAAAAACAATAAGGTTAGCGATGAATTCGTATTCATTATTGGACAAGGACATATTAGCGCTATTCAAAATGAAAAGGTTTGGAATTTTTTTAAAATTTTTTCCTAAAATTATCCAAAATTTTTTTAAATATGCTGAAGAATAGTGACAATCGGAGCGGAAGTGAGAAAATTGATGACTTTACAAACTTCTTCTATTCGACATATACAAGTGATTTACCCACGATTCCAAAAGAATATTTGGATAATATGCCAGAAAATGTTAAATCCAAATATTCTAAACAAGATACAAGGAGTTTTTCGAACAAATCTGATTTTATAGATTCGCTTGGACTATCAGATGATATTGATAAAAAAGAACTTGAGTTATTCTTAGATTTTTCCGAAAAAATTAAAGAAAAAAACGTATTCAATTTACTGAATAGAATAATTCTCAGGGTTGACAGAAATATCCTAAGTATTCTTAGTTCCGACAATGGAAAACTCGTTTTTGCTGATTATCCTATATTTACAAAATATTTTCAATACATATCAGAATGCAACCAGAAAAATATCAAATCTAGCATAAACGATGCCCTCTTATTCGTACACAGCATTCTCCAATTCTTAATTCCAAGAATGGAAAATAAAATTTTACAATCTTACATTATTTCTATTCTTAAAACTCTTTATCAATTATACAACAAAAGCGATTTTGATTACAAGAGCAATCCTATATTTACAAACGCATTTGATTTTATTGATAAATATTTTACGATCGATAGCAAAAATCTCAGTGAAGACTTTATTATTCAGCTCATAGATGTACTAGATCAATCAAAAGGAAGCCGTACTATCGATCAAAATGCTCTAATTTCAATTGAAATTATTAGATTCTTTTCTACCGATACAGAAGTTCTTCCAATGTCAGGAATCAACATTATGTTCATCAAATTCGCATTGGAACAAATCATCAAGTTCCCAGTTCCTCCAAAAATCGTTTTTGAAAAAGAGTTTATTTTGACAGTTGTAAATATTATGAAACACTTCCTTCCAACAGTCGAAATGGATGCCAAATATGATTCTCCAGTTACTAATTATTCAATTGAAGACATTGATGAAACTCATTTCGATAAAAAATTTGAAAATTATCATTCAGATTTAGGATCCAATTATTCATTACCAAAACAAGTAGAATTCAACATTAATCCACTTCTGAATGATTTGGTCAATCCTATTATCAATTATATTAAAAAATTTGAAGAATCTCAACGAAATGTTGAAAAAACAACTCAACAAAAGAAATTAGTACCTTTCAACATGTTCATTGACCAATTTGATACAGATATAGATATAAACAATGTCATTTTATTGATTGTTTATATGCTTGACAAATCGAAAAACGAAGGAAACTTATTTATTTATTCTTATGGATTCTGGGATTTGATAAATCCAAAAGTTTTTGGCGAAACATATTCAAGTACAGTGAGAAATGCTGTTCTTAGGTTATCAATCAGCATGTTCTTCAATCCTTCATCGAAAGTTCCTGAATCAATTTTGCAAATAATATCTATTGAAAACTTTTTCCACTTTTGGCCACTTTTCAAAGAACTTGAATCAATAAAAGGCAGCCAAGAGTTCATTAAAAGTCTTGTTTTCAATGGATTATTTGCAAAACTCGCTGACTTTGCAATAGATAACATGTTTATCTATGATTATCTCAGATATTTCATTTACAAATTTCCAAAGATTTGTTTTTCAGAGAATTTAGTCAAATCAAGGATGTTGACACACAGTCAAACATTCATTAAACTTGTTAAGGCAGCAACAAGAGAACAAGAAATTTGTCTTAAATTGAAAGACATTTTATATGACTCTCTTAAATGTAAAAAGGATGAAATAACTGCAGCAATTATGGGAATTATTGGAACTTATTCAAATTTGGACTTTAACATTGATTTGAATGATTTAATGACTATATTAGTTCAAGAAGTCAAAAAGAAAAACTTGTATTTGGAGTTTATTAATCTTTTGGCTAATTTGGCTTATATCAGTTCAAAATATCGAAATCAATTGTTTGAAATGGATGAAAAAACTTTTGACATTCTTGTTGACTGTGATTATGACTTAGATTTAACATTACCTTTAATTCATTGCAGCATTGGAGATATAGATCAAGATATTAAATCAGAAGATTTCTATTCTAATCCTATAGTTTTCAAAACAGCTATTGCAATATTAATAAGAAGATGCAAATATACTAAAATGAATTTGGAAGTGACAAAAGAACTTAATAAACTTTCAACAGTTCCTTCGAATGCAGAAAAAATCTTATTAGCAAATGCTTATGATTTCACTCTTGAAAACATGAAAAATACTACTGATAAAGAAGAATTTAAAGTATATTTGAAATTGTTTGAACTCTTAAGCATGTCGCAATTCACTCCATCAATGTATCAGAAGTTAATAAAGACAATTGAAGCCAAACATTATTTATTTGCAAACTTGGTTTTCGAAGTGATTTATAAATTAATTATTGAAAGTAAATTAACTCGTGAATGGTCATTTGTTTTCTCAGAAAATGGTTCACAACTTGTAGATGAAAATGTCCAAATCAAGCAAGATACAACAATTGCTTTTTCAATAAGTAACATGAAGATTGATTCCAAACACACTTATCCTTTGTTTTTGATGAAAAATGATAAAACAGAGATCAAAATGAGTTTCGCAATCAAAGAGAATTGTTCTTACATGTATATTGATTATGATCAATCTGTTAAGAACATATTGAAGTTCGAAAGAACTTATTTCGATCCAAACTTCATATCCAATGTTTTAATTATTTTCAATTTACCAAAGATAACAATAAACATCAACAAAAGTCAAAAAACAATTAATATTCTTGAGCCAAAGGATGAAGAAAACGAATCACAAGAAGAAAAACCAGCAAAACCACGTGAAAAAACAAAATCACCGAAGAAACAAGAATTCCAAGATGCTGATTATACAATATCATTTGCAAGTTTCTTGAATAATTCTATCTTGGATTGTTCAATTTCAGATATTTCACTTTTCCATGAAATAATCAATGTAGTTCCTGAAGATCCACTTCTTATGGCTGAAAGATCGACTCTCTACAGGAAATATTCTCCTCGTTGTGTTGTTGGAGATAAAATCGAGTTTATTGATCAAAAAGACAACAAAAAGACAGCAAAATTTAATGGAATTATTTCATTCGGAAGAAGCACTATATTTAGAGTTTTGAATAATGCTGATTACTTGTATTCATTAGTACCTGTTGTACAGAATTATTGTGATAGAGATGACTCAACAAATCTAGAATCAGATCAAAATGATTCAATTGCTGTTATTTTGTTGAGAATTTTCAAGATAATGTTGGATTCTGATGATGCTTTATGCACAAGTTTCTATAGAAATGATTATTTCAAGTATTTCGCCAGTTTCTTATCGAAACTTAAATCGGAATTTGTTGATACAAACTTCCTTACAAGAGCAGTTGATTTAATGGATACGAAACTCAGTGATAAAATTGCTGTTGCTTTCTTCTTGAATATTGATTTCGCAAAGAATATTTCTAGAGTTCCGAAATTCATTGAAAATTATGCAATGAAATGTTACCAATTCCATAAAACCTCTTTCTTTAATAGAGAAGCTTTAGTTATTTATTATGGTGGTGTTTTGGAAATGCCATCACAAACAACTAATAACAAAATTAATTTGGATGGAAGACAAGAATTCTTGAATTTCGCTTTGCAAATCATTTCTGATGAAGAATTCAAAGCAGACAAATCTTTCTTAATTACTTATCCAATGTGGAATGATAAGAAAGGTTTCGAAGAAGCAGTTAAGCTGATTAAGGAAATCAATATCTTCAAGGACATTGAATCATCGATTTCTAACATTTTCCTTCCTTGGATTTACATGTTAAATCTTCCAGATTTACACATTTTTGCTTTAGATAAATTCATTGAATATTTCAATAAATATTCCAAAGACGAAAAGAAGAAATCAGAGCTTGTTAAATTGTCAATTATTGCTTCATTGAATTTCAATTCCATTCTTGATAAAGAAGAAGATATCAATAAATACAGAGAAATCTTCATCCAATCTTCAATTACAATTCCATTGCTTCTAAAAATTTTGTCATTTACAATTGATAAAGAAAGAGCAATGAAATGGTTGATTGAACAACTTCGAAAGGAAAATATCAGTCAGAACTTCATTGAATGCATGAATTGGCAATACTTCTTATTAGATTTCATGTGTAAGATCAACAAAATTAATACAGAACCTTTCATTTTGATTTTGCAAAGAAATCCAAGTCATATAACAACTCTCTTCAGATTGATCGAATCATTTTACATAAATCATAAATCATTAATTAATTGGGAAAAGTTGGAAACAGATATCCTTCTAAATCTTCCAAAGGATTGTTTCAAAGGTCATCTTAATGAAATTCTTTCTTTACTTGTTCCTTTAATTATGCATGATTTTGAAATTGTTTCCAACAAAAATGTTGAATCTTTTCCACTTGGAAATTTGAGAGAATGCATGGACTATTTAATCAAACTTCCAGCAGCTGTTGTTAAAACAGATAGAGAGGAAACATCAAAAGATAAAACACTCCTCCAATTCACTTTGGATCTTTTGGATTATTATGATGGAAAAAGCGTTACAATTTATGAAGTTAAATTTGACATGATTTTGTTATTTATTGATTTGTTATATGAATATTCAAAGTTTGGTGATGATATTGAAGAATACTTTAACAAGATCATCAATTGGTTATCTCATAATCCGATGAATGTCCAATTACTTGGAATTTCCAATATCAAAGAATTTTATCATGAATTGCCGCCAAGATTAGAAAAATATTACAGAAAAGATATCGAACCATGCAGATATTTCTATGATAGATTAGACAATGACAAGTTCAGTTATGGATTCTTCAAAGCAGTTGAAAGACAAAGATCAGATATTTTCAGGAGTTTCGAATTATTATTAAACAAAGATCATATAAGAATTACTTATAAAGATGATCTTCTCAAATCATGTATGAAACATTCCTATGATCATTATTACAATGATTACTTGGTTTCTACTAAATACAGATCAGAAGAGTTCCATAATGCAAATCTCAAAGATCTTGAGAATTATTTCAAAACAAATGGAACACTTTTATTCGAAAGCAAAGATGATTTCAAACCAACATTTGTTGTTTCTAGTTTCATCAACAGAAAAGGTGGAAGATCATTGATGGAACCAAGATCTCGTATAAATGATATAACTCATTTTTACCAAAATGATGAGTTCGAATTTCCAAAAGAATATGTTAAAACATCAGCTGGTTTCACTAATAATTGTATCGCAGTAACAATTGAAGGATATTATCAAGGAAAAATCTCTGTAGAAACAGATACAAAATACATCAAGTTCAATGGTTCAACTAAAACAAATTGTCACTTTTATTTTGATTTGAACATCAATGAAATCGAATTTATTTTCAACAGAATTTGTTTCGGAAGAGATGTTGCTTGTGAAATATATTCTTCGTTCAAACCACCTTTGTATTTAATTTTACCTTGTGAAGCACAAAGAGATACTTTTATTTCGTTTGTTGCAGCCATTTATGATAAAGATAATGAGAGAATTCCTCGTGTCGAAGGCAAATTCGATCTATTTACAGAGCTTAGAAAAGCTGTAGGCGGAAATATCTATAATCCAAATAAAGATTTCACAAAAATTGCTCAGACAATCAATCTCCAATCGAGATGGGCGAGTAGAGAAATATCTACTTTTACTTATATCTCTTACTTGAGTATTTTGGGAGGAAGATCATATAATAACACAATGGAATATCCTTTCTTCCCATTTATTTTCCAAAATTATAAAGACAGAGATTTAAGAGATTTGACAAAAACAACGTCTCTCGAAACACAAAGGCAAAGCAATATTGACACTGCTGAAAACATAGGATTTTCTAAAGGCTGCAGTTCCGGACTCTCCGTTATCTTGGATTTCGTAAGATGCTATCCATTCTACGCACAACAATATGATTATTCTAGCAAAGGCTATGAATACTATTCAAGATCTTTCACCATATTCAAATTGGTTGAGGATTTAGAATGTCTTCCTGAATTCTTCTGCTTCCCTTATATTTTCGTGGATACTCTCGGTCTTCCTTTGTTCAAGAACGAAAGAGGAGAATTATTACATGAAGATGTAATTCTCCCAGATTGGGCTAAAACAAAGGAAAATATGAGTCTCACAAATGCAATGAAATTTGTTTCACTTCACAGATATTATTTGGAGACAAGAGCGAACGAACACATCAATATTTGGTTTGATATTATGTATGGAAACAAGAGAGGCAATCATACATACGGAGAGTTCAATAATGTTGATTCTAAGAAGCTAGGAAGAAATTTTGGTGACTACTTAAAATATATTCCAACTGACAGAGTTTTCGAAAGTAGTCACATTCAACGTGAAGATCCACCGAATGATGATGACATGAAAGAAGAAACTTATACATCTAATATCATCTATTTCAATAAGAAAGTTGTTATCACAGAATCAGGAACATACAAATACAATGATGCTCCATTAAATGTAATTCTTCAGAACAGAGCAATTGTTGGAGTTTGGCCTGATTCAAATACGGTTCTTTATTTGAGTGAAAAATCTAAATCACAGAGTTTCGTCATTCTCCATAGAGTGAAAGAAAATTCATTATCTTTCGTTTGCCACCAGTCTTCCAACATTACTTGCGCTTGTGTAGCTGGAAGAAGAATACTTGTAACAGGTGGATTTTACGGAGATGTCAACATCTGGAGTTTGCCAGGAAGAGCTTTAATCAGAAGCTTTTCGTATCATGTTTCTCAAATTGTCAAAGTTGCAATGAGCGCTGACTGTGGATTGATTGCTTCTCTTGACCAAGAAAACAACTTGGTCTTCTGCACAATCGATAGAAAGTTCATTTGCAAGTTACAGACCGATGCAGAAATCGGTTTGTTCGTTTATAAGTCTGGAATTGTTTGCGCTGTTGGAAAGAACAAGATAACGTTTTACAACAGTGTTGGAAATGTTCTTTCAACAGTTGAATTGAAGGAAACAATTGTTCGTGCAAAGAAATGCGTTTTCTACTCTAGTATTGATGCAATTGCTGTTTCATATAGAGTGAATAACAGCGATTCAATCAAAGTGTTTAACGCTGCAGGAGAAGAATTGACAGCGCTAGCACAAGTAGATCTCGAAATAAACAGTTTCTTCGAGTACAACAAGAAAGGAACTATCTTGACTGTTGCATCCGGAACAAAGGTCGTTAAGTTCAAAAAGCGGGATGATAATAAGCAGGATGCTGATAAGAAGGACGCCAATAAGAAGGATGCTGACCTGATTGTGGATCTTTCAATTAATAAATAATGAAGACATTTATTGATTACATATCTGTGATTCAGATAACCACAATGACCTCTTATCAGTTCGATCATTTTCTTATTTTATAAACTTTTTATTTATTTTTGAATTTTGAAATTTTGAGATTATTCCTTTTATAACTTTATCATTTTTTATATTTTTGAAGAATTGAGGAAAAATAGGTGAAATATGCAGAAATAATTAAATAAATGTAATCCTCCCTAACTCAGTTGGTTAGAGTGTCAGACTGTTAATCTGGAAGTCGTGTGTTCGATCCACACGGGAGGAGATTTTTTCTTTTTGAAGATTTTTATTTTTCAGATTTGAAATGTTGCGAGATGATCCTATACATCACCCGAAAGCTTTTGTTAAGTCCTAAACAGGAAAAACTTTTTTGGGGATATCAGATATTTTGCTCATTTGTGGATATATTCACGTACAGTAATCGCATTGATCTTGTATTGGTGCGAAGGCCGTTGATATTGGGGTGGTATCCATAAATTTCCCCAAAGCTTATCCCTTGTTTGTCATACGAGAACCGTCAAAGCCGCAAAAATTCTCTCAATTTTTGATCGTTGTTCGTTCAAAGGAACCTTTGAAGAATTGAAATCCCGGCAGTATTAGCGACCAATATACCAACTATTTCATTTTATTTCGTTCAAAGAAACCCAATATAGTTTTTCTGCCCGCTTACACTTTTTGTAGAAAAGTTGAGATTGAGAATCTTATCATCTTTCTAGATTTCTCTTTTCCGCCCTGTAACTCCATTTTGACAGTAGAGACTACAGCAGTATCCCGTATGTTGTGGTACTTAGTCTCTATGAGATAATCACAAGATGCATGCTCTTCCATCATTTAAGAAAAATGAGCCTCTTGTCACTCCAATGGACGAGTTCATATGATGGTGCAAATATTTACTCCCTTTCATGCTTTATCCTTTTGAATCCCTGCCAAATTCGAGTTTGATTGCTCTCTATCCAACCAAATTACTATATCCAACACATTCCTCCTTCTTAGTAGAAGCGAATATTGCTGCATCCTATATGCCGCACTTATTGGTCTCTATTGACCGATCATAAGATTTATGATTTCTAATAATATAATAAAAACTCAGATACAACAAGAAAGCTACACATTTACTGATTGTATTTCCCTTCGATCATTTTGGTAATCTCTCATTGTTAATGATCACAATTACTTTTTAAACTCAATGCCAAAAGAGATACAGACAACACACACCAACTTTCAGAAATATTATAGCATTATATCGTAATAGAAAATTTGAAAAAAATAATATCTTTATTTTGCTGAGTAATAAAAAAGTAATTTAATCGGTTCCACTATCAGAATGAAGATGATAAATAATTTCTTTATCTGATTTTTCTTCAAAGTCCTCGGCAAATGGATCTTTTCAGCTTTCGATTTTGGCTGAAATAGAGGATTATCATAAGTTAAACCTGCTTCTGTTGATATTGCAATATGGGCAGTTTCTTCAACCATTTCAATTGGTGAACTTTCTTCGTTATCTTTATATGCAAGAACAATCATTACTATTAAACCTGATATTACAATAATTTCAATAACTGCAATAATTATTAAAGCAATTACTAATGAAGTAGTTTGCTTTTCATTTTTATCATCAATTATATCTACATACTCGCTTGTTCTTGATGAACTTTCTGATAATGATGTAATAGATGATGAACTGATTGTGGATATTGATTCATGATTTTCTTCTTCTTCATCATCGCATTCTTCTTCAATTTCTGGTGGACAATAATGCTCAGATTTATTTAACTTTGGATAAGGAATATAGTTCGGGTTTGATGAATAGCCAGATTTATAGTTTGCAAGGTTCTCAAAAGGAACAGAAGTATCACATTTTTCTCTTAACATAAACATTTCGATAATTGTATAATCATACATATTTATCTTCTTCCGCCATCTTGTATTCATTAGATTTTCTGTAACAAAAATTCTATCAATTTGATCACCATCCAAATTTTTTGGCATAAAAGTACCTCCATAGCACACATTTGTTAAATATGGACACATTAAAAATGGATTGCCCTCAGCATCAACCATTCCTGGAATTATCAATGTTGTAATACCAAAATCAATAACTTTACCAGTCTCATCATCATATTTTGGAACTGAAATAATTGATCGATCTCCTATTGCTTTGATTTCCCTTGGAAGAATATATGTAGACATCAATTTTCCAAATGTTAGAACTAACATGTTTGATTCTCTTTCAATGATTTCATGCTCAAGAACTTTGAACCATCTATTATTACATTCAATAATTACAATTTCCTCTGATCCATAGAAGGATGTTGACTCTATGTATTGAATTTTACTTTGAAGTTCAAATTTTTTGAGATTCGTGAAACCAAATGAATAATCTCCAATTTTACTAAATATATTAGGTATGAAAATTTCTGATATAGATGAATCATTTAAAAATGCATCTGGAATTTGATATGAATTAAATATATCTAGACTTCCATAAATTAAATTGATTTCATCTGGAACGAGTTCATCTTCTAATTGCTCAGGCATAGAGAAATGTTTTAAAAATGAAGTAGCTTTAACTATCGTCAATTTTTTTAGTTTCTTGCATTTTGAAAATTCACCTATAGATAGGCAATCTGAATTAAGGACCATCTCTTCAATTCTGGTATCCATAAATGCTTCTTTCCCTACAGAATGGAGATTTGGGGCATCAAATTCAATCGTTTTCAAATTAATACAATGTGCAAATGCATTTTCATTTAATGTTGTTAATTTATTTGGTAATTTAACATATTCTAAATTCGAACATTGATAACAGAAGTAATTTGTTGAAGGATCATTTCCCGATTGAATTTCATAATCAAAATTAATTGATTTTATTGATTTACATTTTGCAAAGGCATATTGTAGGCCACTTATTCCATGATTAATAATAATTTCTTCGAGATTAATCGCCCCTGAAAATGCATATTTATCAATAATTTCAACATTAATTGGAATTATAAATTGTTTTCGTAAATTTGAAGGCATGTAATATGCAAGTTCAATGGAATAATTATAATAAATAAAAACATCATCTTCTAATTTTAGGTAAGGATTTGATTCATCAATTATAAATTTAATGCTAGGAGAATCATAAAATCCTAAGTTAGAAATCGATCCAAATGAAGCACAAATATAAACAGTATCAATTGATGTTACATCTTGAAATGGAAATTGTGATGAATCAGAATTCGGATTGGAAAAATTTTTATCAAGTTTGATAATTTTTACTTTTGATTTATAAAAAGCATGATCACCAATACTTTGAAGAGATGAAAGGTTTAATACAACATCAGACAAATCAGTGTATGCAAATGCATTGGAACCTATAGATTTTATATTTGATAAAAATGTGATTGATTTCAATTTTTCACATTGAGCAAAAGCATTTTCTCCTATTGAATTGGCATCATTTATTGTTACTGCTTCAAGATTATGACATTTATACATAAATCCACTGTAAATATTGCCTTTAATTACAACAGATTTGATTAAATTGCAAGCAGAAAAGGAGTAAGAATCACCAAAAATTGTTGAGGTCATATTTAATGATTCACATCCACTAAATGCATATTCATCAATTGAATTACAATGAGAAATGTCTATATTCATAAGTTTTGTGCAGAATCTAAAAGTAGATCCTCCAATGGATCTAATTTTCATTGATATGTTTACTAATGAAACACACGACATAAATGCATAGCTGGAGATATCAACAGTTACCTCGCATGTAATTGTTTTTAGCTCATAACAATTTTTGAAAGCTCCAGAATTTATTCTTGTAGTTCTTCCAAGGTCAACATATTCTAATTTTACACAATTTTGAAAACATGAAGGACTCATTGTCAATTCACGTTTAACAATAATTGATTTAAGTTCATAGCAACTATAAAATGCATAATAATCAAGATCAAAAAAAAAAAAAAAAAAAAAAAAAAAAAGGTAGTGGGGCTTCCAGGCACTTCGTGCCTTCTAGCCCTGAAGATGTTTAGTATAAATGAAGTCTTGACAAAACATTTACGAAGAAGTCTTGACAAAGTCTTTACGAAGAAGTCTTGACAAAACATTTACGAAGAAGTCTTGACAAAACATATACGAAGAAGTCTCAACAAAGTCTTTATGAAGAAGTCTTGACAAAGTCTTTACGAAGAAGTCTTGACAAAACATAGACAAGAAAGTTCATGAGTGTAAATGACCCAAAAATATATTTTAGGGTAGAAGGGTATATCTAACCTCTTTTCTAACCTCTTTTCTACCCTCTTGAATTTTCATGAAATTTACACCAAAAATATATTTTAGGGTAGAAGGGTATATCTAACCTCTTTTCTAACCTCTTTTCTACCCTCTTGAATTTTCATGAAATTTACACCAAAAATATATTTTAGGGTAGAAGGGTATATCTAACCTCTTTTCTAACCTCTTTTCTACCCTCTTGAATTTTCATGAAATTTACACCAAAAATATACTACTAGGGTCATTTACGAAGAAATCTCAACAAAGTCTTTACGATGAAGTCTTGACAAAGTCTTTACGAAGAAGTCTCAACAAAGTCTTTACGAAGAAGTCTTAACAAAGTCTTTACGAAGAAATTCATGAAAATTCAAGAGGGTAGAAAAGAGGTTAGAAAAGAGGTTAGATATACCCTTCTACCCTAAAATATATTTTTGGGTCATTTACGAAGAAGTCTTAACAAAGTCTTTACGAAGAAGTCTCAACAAAGTCTTTACGAAGAAATTCATGAAAATTCAAGAGGGTAGAAAAGAGGTTAGAAAAGAGGTTAGATATACCCTTCTACCCTAAAATATATTTTTGGGTCATTTACACTCATTTACGAAGAAGTCTTAACAAAGTCTTTACGAAGAAGTCACAATAAAACATCTGTCAAAAACCGCTTTTCTGTCACTTTTCAGGAAAAAACATTTTTATTATTATATATAAATGAATTTTACAAAACCACCGTTACCCTTCTTTGGAAATAAGAGTAGATGTAAAGATATTCTATTGAGAGAACTTAAGAAACTACCGAATGGTCTAACATTTGTAGATTTGTTCGGTGGAAGTTTCTATATATCCCATCTGTGCCATACTGTATTTCCTGACTCAAAGATTATATGCAATGACTTCGACAACTATATGAACCGTCTCAAACATATACCAGACACAAACAAAATATTGAGTGAGTTGAAAGAAAAGATACCTATAGGTAAGATGGAACGTATACCATTAGATAAGAAAGATATTGTCAGAGAGGTTTTGAAAAAAGCAGAGTATATTGACTGGGATAGTATATCTGCTAGACTATTATATAGTGGTGCTATAAGAGTTCATGACATTGAAACACTTATGTCAAAAGTTTTATATCTTAACTATACAAATGTTTTCAAAGAGAACATAGAAAAATATATTGAGGGTATAGAGTTTGTGAGATGTCATTGGACAGAGTTGTATGAAAAATATAAAAACAAGGAAAATGTTTTCTTTATAGTAGACCCGCCGTTCTATAACACATATGATTTTCAATACCAAGTAGACTGGACTTTGAGAGACTCTTTAGAAACTTTAGACGTTTTACATAACCATCCATGCTTTTACTTTACATCCGATAAAAGTGGTTTGGAAAGTGTCATGAGATGGTTAGAGGACATACATGACTATGAGTTTAGATACGATAAGATAGAATATGAGAGAGGTCCTATAAACTGGAGAAAGTGTCATAACAAAGAATTTTACTAGTAAGTAAATGTGGTTTGAAATAGGACTACTTGTTTTAGGTTTTTTCCATTGTGTCATTTACTTATTTGACGTGGCAGAAAGATATAGAGAATATGAAGATGAACCAATGCCTGCAAATGTTCAGTATATGTACTCGTAAGAGATATTTTTATCTAATATTAAATGGACGCACAGAACTTAGCGAATGCACAGCAACCTGGACAACCAAACCCAGAGAATATTCCAAATGAAGTTAGAATACAAACTGCAATGGCAAACTATGGTCAAGTGCCAACAGATGTACAAATGCAAACTGCCATGTCAAATGACGCTGCGTTAGGTTTGCCACCATGGTATGCAAATATGAGATGGAAAGAGTTTTATACAAACCCTGAAGTGGGATATAAACAACTCTATGCAGATGACGCGAACACAGGAGTTGACCCAGAGTATGTTTTCTACCAGAGGAGAAATAGAATGTATGAGCTCCAGTTAAAAAATGCAATGGAACTCAACAGGAAACGTAAGAGACTAGGCGGACATTAGATTTTTACATATAGTAAAATGGGTTTTTTTGGAAGAATAGGAAACTTCTTTCGAAATGTTGGAAGAGGTATATGGAATGGAATAAAAACCGTAGGAAGAGGAATTTGGAACGGAGTCAAAAATATTGGTAAAAGAGTAGGTCAGTTTGTTGGTATTATACCTAAAGACCCTGAACCAGAAGAACAAGCTCCTGTTATACAACAGCCTGAACCTGCACCACAGTCAAGTTGGCAACCAAATCCAACACCTCAACCGTATTAAAATTATATTTTTACCGTTCGATAGTAGTTGTATATGAAACTAAGTTCTAAGTAAAACGCGTGGTATAATGGAATTATTCTCTTTCTTCCATCTGTAGTAAACCATACTTGAAAGTCTGAAATACTTCCACTTGGTGGTTCATATAGCTTTGTAGGTTTTTCGTAAAAGTCATTTGCCAAGCATAAGAAAGAGTTTTGAGCGCCAGAAAATGAAGCATGAACAATAATAGCATCTGGGTCGAAAACATTTTCATATGTTCCATTAGGGTTTTCGACTTCATAATAGTCTGGGTGTACTGGATACCATGCAGGCTGATTTAACATCCTCATAAATCTATGCCATGCCAAGTTGTTATATTTTGTAGAAATATAAACGTTTTCTCCAAGGTCTTCTATTTTATTGATTTTAACAGTTGCATTTTTCCTGTCATAAATAATATCGAGATGGTACTCTCCTTCGTCAATGTTATACTGGTTTGCATATTCGAGATAGATATCGTTTATTTTTTCTTGAAAAGCTTGAAGAGTTGTTTCTAAGTTTACAAGCAAATTCACTTGTAAAAGTTTTCCCTGTTCAAATTTCTCATACGTACGTTTTTCTTTGTTATAGTATCGAACTTCAAAAGCGACTGTAAATGGGAAACCATGTATGGCTTCTGAAATGAACTTCATTCTACGAAAGCCAATAGCTTTTGTGACGGATGGGTCTCTTAACCATCTTAGTGGGTAGTCAAAACGATAGCCTTCATGCTTTACGGTCTCTGTCTCAAACTTTTGACCGACATTCGTAAAAAGTTCATCTAATGGTTTAGTTGTAGCAACTCTTGAATTTTCTTTTTCTATTGAAAGCATATTTTATCTAGAATAAAAATGTCGAAAGAAACAGCGTCTATGAGAGAAATACAACACAACCGACAACTCATTTTGCAAGCTCTAAATAAGAACACAACAAACTTTTCAAACTATTCTAAGATATCTGAGTCATTGAAAGAAGGAAACTTAAAATGACGATAAACCCAATGACAGATGAGTTTCTGTTTCAAGACAGTAAGAACCATACTGTTTGTATAAATCCAACAAAAAGAACTTTAAACGAGAAGCCTATAGATGAACTTCTTTTGAAGGCAGATATTGACAACAAAGCTGACAAAAGTATGTTGACGATGAGTTAGCACGTGTGGCTAGTGCGTTAGTGAAGAAGGCAGATAAGGAATATGTGGATGAAAAGGATGAAAAAATTAAAGAAATGGTTGAATGGTACCATGAACGGACAACAAAGATTTTAGAAGGTAAAGCCAATACAGGGTGGGTTTCAGGATGTTTAGACCTTAAAGCCGACAAAGAAACTGTAGATATGTTGACACAAACGGTTTCAAGTCATACCAGAGGTTTAATGGAAGATGGACAACAGTTGAAAGAGCTTGAGAAAGGTGTTACAGAGTTAAGGAATACAAAAGCAGACTCGACATGGATAACTGGATATGTAGATGCAACAAAAGAGTATATTTTCGCATGGACAGAAGGAACATACCCACAAAAATATCATAGACATAGCATCTCTGACGTAAATGAACTTGAAGAAAAGTTAGATAAAAAAGCTGACAAAACAGAGCTTCAAACGTTAAAGACAGAAATACTTCAAACACTATATCCTATAGGTTCTATTTACACGTCAATGAACTCTACCAAACCAGAAGTAGTACTTGGTCTCGGAACTTGGACTCAAATAGTCGACAAGTTTTTGTATTGTGCAAACTCTTCAAAGGAAACAGGTGGAAGTAAAACGATTTCAGGTGCAAATTTACCTGCGCACAGTCACTACATAAATTTAAGTACATCTGAAGCAGGTTTGCATAGTCATAGATTTTGGGATTGGTCAGGAATGACAAAAGGTAAAGGATATGATGTTAAAGAGGACGTTAAGTTTGCTATAAATTGTTACTGGAGTAACACTGAGGTAGGAGGAAGCCATACACATCGCGTTTCAGGGTATACGCAAACAACGGGCAAAGTAAAGACTACATGCCACCTTACATGACAGTTTACGCATGGTATAGAATTGCTTAGTCGTCATTTTCAACTTCTTTAGCATATTCGTCAGGAGTTGTCTTATATTTGTTAGGAACTGTCTTTGAAAGTATACCACCTTGAACTTTGACAAGTTTGAAACGAGGTCTGACAATAGTCGTTTTATCTTCTGCTTGCAGTGTGTACATTTTGCCATGTTTGCCTAAAACTTCATAATATTCTCTTGTATACTTTCTTCTATTTTTACGAACACGAATGTGAGTACCTGTCGGGTCCCATTGTTGTCATAGTCAATAGTATTTTCATATGGGTCGCGTTTAGGTATTTCTATTTTTACTTTGTCACCTTTCTGAAGTTTGAAGCCCGGCATTCTTTCTTGTTTGTCTCTTTTGACTAAATTATTAAATATATAGTCTTTCTCTAAGTCAGGGTTGTTTTTCATTTCTTCAGGGGAGTGGTTTCCCAAACCTTTTTGTTTACGGCTATTGTAAAATATTTAAAACTTGTCTCATCTTTGCCATGGAGAAGTGTCTATATTTGTCGTCATATGACATTTCATTTGCTTCACCACCTTGTGGTTGGTTTAAGTCTCTTAACATTTTTATACAACCGTCAATGACACCAAGAGCAGAATGGTTTTGGTCGACAATGAAATATTGGTTTACATTTTTTGAACGCAGATAGTTTTTAATATCGTCTGATTTGAAAGAACTTTCACAGTCAGATGTCAGTTTTGTTGGATGGTATTTGTCAACGAATATTGTCAAAGCAGTTTTCACATCTAAAATATTTTTGGACTGCAATGGTATGGCTTCACAGTATCTTGTGTTTTGACCAACAAATATTAGCCAGTATGGTGGTCCATCTGTTCTAACTCTCGAATGTTTTCCAAGATATCCATAAACCAAGCATTTGGTGTTGAACTAAAGATTTTTATCATGAGTGCTTTCTTTGTCGCTTTAGAAAACATAGGGGTCCTTGTTCGGATTCGTCATTTTTTACCCTATAAGAAATGGGTTTATTTGGCGCATTAGCAGGAGTTGCATCCAGATTTTTACCCGCAGTGGGAACAATTAGCTAGAGGTGTATTTGGAGTTGGAAGGAAGATTTTGAGTACATTAGGTATACTTAAAGAGAAAGCACAACCTATTTACAAACTGTACAGAAAGGTTGGGAGGTAGCACGAGATGCAACAAATCTTATTCCAAATCCTGAAACAAGAGGAAAAGTTAAGGATGGATGGATAATGTAGGAAGACAAGCAGGAAACTACTATAACAAAGCAAATGACTACTATAACCAAGCAGGGCACTATATGGACCAAGGTGAAAGATTCTTTAACAGAGGATATAACCATGCACAAGTGGGTAAACAATAACCAACCTCAACGCCTCAAACGTGGGGAATGTAAATTTTTTTACTGAGATGAAATGAACAATACAGCATTGAGACAAATGGGTTCAAGATGGATTTGTCGGCTTCCAGCAGTTACAACAACCAGTGTTTGTCAAGTTCTTCCTATACCTCAAGAAGTTTTAGACCGACTTAAAAAACCTAAACAACCAGTTGAAAACAAAAACAAACTAAATTTTTTACTGAGATGAAATGACCGAAGAAGTTGAAACAGTAGATTTGACACCACAAACAAAAAGTTCAGAACCATTGTCAAAACCTGTCAAAGAACTTACAGATGAAGAGAAAAATTCAATAATAGAAAGTGCCAGGTTCTGGAAATACAAACCTAACTACAAAGTCACTTTTCATAGAAATGGAACGGCTAGTATCTCAAAAAAGAAACAGACTCTCACAAATAAAATATTGAAGTCTGAAGGAGCTTTCGAGACAACAGATGGGAAGGTATACTTCACTGACCAACAGTTCATTATAGAACATCTCATTGACTTAGAGTCGAAATATTCTAAACTTTACAACAAACACAAAAAGTTGAAAGGAAAACAAAAACAAATGGCATATGATATTTATGAAGATGTTAACGACACAACTGTTCCTGCAAGTGAAGTAAAGTCAGAGGAACCGAAAAGTGACGAAAAACCTATAGAAGAAGAGAAACCAAAAACTGAAGATAAACCAAAACCAAAGTTTAGTTTCCAAACTAAACCAAGTCAACCTTCATTAGCTGGTATGGGTTGGCGTCAAAGACTTATGGCAGCAGGCGGTTATGTAAAGTAAAGAAAAACATTTTTTTATTTTTATAAAAATGCCCCCATATAGAATGGATAGAAAATCTGCTAGAATAAAAGCAGAGTTAGAAAGATATGGTTGGAAAGTTTCGAAGAATTTTAAATATAGGAAGGGAAGACCCATAAAAGTCTATGACAAACTGGCTGGTCTGACCTACGAAATGGACTTGGAAACAGCGCGCACAAATTATCCAAACAGATTAGAGAGGTTAGAAGAAGAACGTCTTATGAACTTGCCTTTCAATGTTAGTGAACCTCAAGTTGAAGGACACGACGGCTTTGCCAGATTCTACTGGAAACATGACGAACAATTGTATCCTTTGAGAAGGAAAAAAGGAAAAGGTGAAGACAAACATGCTCCCATGGAAAGAACAAGATATGCATATGAAAAGTACCGTGAAGTTAGAAGTAAAATTACATCTGGTCGAACCTTTACAGTAAACTTTGAAGAAGGAAAGAACAAAGAAGGCTTCATGGGTGTACTTGCTGCCATACAAGACGGAAATAAGAAAGGATACAATCTCAGACTAACCGTAACAGATTTGGACGGTCACATTTACTATGCACATGGCAATGTCACAACAGCCGCACAACTTCTTGACGCTTTCAAGACTACAAAGAGAGAACAAATGTTTGACTCCGACTCAGACATTTTGAATGCAATTGAAGGAATTGCAAGTGTAAAATTTGAATGGTACCAACCTAACCCTCAAGCAGTCAGACAACATGTTTGTTAGATGAGAAATATGAAATGGCATACTATTTTAAAACAATATATTTTTACATATATTAAATGTTTCAGGTTGAAAAACAAAGAACAAAAGTAGCAGATACAAAACCGTTAGACTATATCTTTACAAATGCTGGTAGGAATCTTTCAGATGAAGAAATTTCATCCGGAGCTTACAGGTTTGATTATCCAATTCGTTGGCTTCAAAGTCCTTCAGATGCAAAGGCAATAGGATTTAGAAGAGTTTTGTTTTCAAAAAGAACGAACGCTTTTATGTTCGCAGTATATTTTCATGGGCAGTATGAAGGTTCTGATGGTCTAATAGACAAATTTGACGAAATGAGAATCTTTACAGTTCGTTCAGACGAAAGTCTTGAAAAAACTCTAAATGACTTTCAAACTCAAATAAACAAATACTACTGGGAATTTCAAGAAAAATACGACTCTTTACTAAACGGAACGTACTATCTGAAGCTAGAATATGACAAGATGAACTCCACAGTTTCATTTCAAAGGATTGAAAATAACCCTCCAAGAAGTACACAGTTTTTATTTTGGGAAGTAGACAAACGTTCTTGGGCACAATTTCTTCGGTTACTAAACCAGAACGAACCATTACCACCTGACGGTCCGTTTAAATTTATACGCCCACCAACAGATTTGACAGTTTATAGAAACGTGTTTGACCCTCAAAATGTCATATGTCATGCAAGTTTCAGTTCAAGCAACAACAGTTTTCTTTGTATTGGTAAGGACTTTTATGACCTTACCTCTAAATTCTACGAACCACCTAGTAACAGTTTCTCTGACTTTCAAGTCTGGTTCACAACAAACGGTGTGCAGCATATTATACCATTGTACTATGACTTTTATCTCGAATTGTCTTTCATATATAACTACGGAAAAGTGCTGAAAAAGTATTGAATGTGAAGATATTAGAAAATAACATTTTTTCTAACATCGTAGAAAACTCATGAAAACAATTTATTTTTGTGAATATGCAAGCGGCTCATAGCTCAGTGGTATGGGCTACCTCGTTAAAGGCGTCGAAGACCTCGGTTCAAATCCCGATTCGCGCAGGTTTTTTCCTTTTATGCAGTGAAATTTCATGTACATAGGTTACTTTGGTGTTAGACCCTAGTGAAGAAAATAGAACGATATTTGTACTGTTTCAGAACAATATTTGTACTGTTTCAAGACAATACTTGTACTGCTTCAGAACGATATTTGTACTGTTTCAGAACAATATTTGTACTGTTTCAAGACAATACTTGTACTGCTTCAGAACAATACTTGTACTGTTTCAAGACAATATTTGTACTGTTTCAGAACAATATTTGTACTGTTTCAGAACAAATTTCCCGTAAAAGCTCTCAATTTGTGAGAAAAATTTTCTGTTTCAAGACAATACTTGTACTGCTTCAGAACAATATTTGTACTGTTTCAGAACAATATTTGTACTGTTTCAGAACAATATTTGTACTGTTTCAGAACAATATTTGTACTGTTTCAAGACAATACTTGTACTGCTTCAGAACAATACTTGTACTGTTTCAAGACAATATTTGTACTGTTTCAAGACAATATTTGTACTGTTTCAAGACAATATTTGTACTGTTTCAAGACAATACTTGTACTGCTTCAAGTACCAACCACCCAAAACCTCTTGAATTTTCATGACTTCTTCGAAAATGTTTTGTCAAGACTTCTTCGTATATGCTTTGTCGAAACTTCTTCGTAAATGTTTTGTCAAACATGAACGTACATGTTTTGTCATGACTTCTTCGTAAATGTTTTGTCAAGACTTCTTCGTAATGAGTGTAAAGGACCAAAAAATATAATTTAGGGTAGAAGGTTAGATCTACCCTCCTTTCTACCCTCTTTTCTACCCTCTTGAATTTTCATGAATTTTCCCGAAATAAAAAATAAAGTTAGTTTTATTTTTTTTATTTTTTTTATTTTGTATGTAAGAACAGAAATGTCAACAATCGGCACAACAACACTTCAAACAACAGCACCAAACTCTTTAGTCATGAACCCAACTTCAATGTTGGTAGAGATGAAAAGCTTCATTCCTTCTTCATATACTTTCGAAACAAAAATCCAGAAGATAAAGCAAGAACTTTTAACAAGTAATTTAGACTGTAGTGCAAAAGATGAAACAAATGAACAGTATCTTTATGAAATGCAGGATATTATTGACCATCTACCTAAACTTCCTGAAATACAACAACAAAAGCTTACTATTCCAGAATTCGATGAAATAGAAGTCAAAGCAACTGACTCAGTAGAAATAAAGAAGTTCATACGTAAGGTAAACTATGAGTTTCTTGGATTTCATTGCAACCACAAAGTCATGGACAAAGACTGCGATATGGTATATAAGAACATCTCTGACATATACAAATCTGGGGAGTTTAAGACCTACGACAACTTTGTTTCGTTAGTTGCAAAATGTGTATGGCAGATAAGAGATAAAGATAGAAGAGGTAAGATATGGAATGAACAGATAAAACCAACTACTTCAGATTTAAAGAAAACCATTGACGCCTTAGTCATACTAGCAGGTAAGATTTCAATGTACAATGCTAAAATGAACCCACAATGTTCAAAATGTAAAGCAGCAATGAGGAAATATAACTACTCCGTCAAAGAGATAGAACGTATGCGAAACGACTATGCTGACTTAAAGAAAGAAGTAGAGAAACCAGCAGAAGATAAAATGGACATGTTGACATTTCTGAACAAAAACTATCCAACAGCTGACGATTTCCTTCTATCTGATGTCAAGAAGAAATATAAAGAAACATTCGGCATAGTTAAAACATTCGATGTACTGACAGAAGAAATAGAAGCTACGAAATTGTTTAGAATTTCACGAATTCACAATGTTTACCATGTAAAACGCTTATAAAATAACTGGGGTAGAAAAGAGGTTAGAAAACAGGTTAGATCTAACCTTCTACCCTAAAATATATTTTTATTGAATTCTGAGTAAAATGACCAAATTTCATGATATAACTGTATTTTTTTGACGAAGAGAACTTTGACACTTCGTAAAAAAAATCCCTGAAATCGTAAAAAAATGACCAAATTTCATGAATTTCCTCATATGTTTGCTACCCAAGGAAAACCGAGGATAGAGATTCCGTACGAAAATCGTAAAAAAACTCTATGAAAATCGTGAAAAAATGCGAGTACGGAAAAAACCCTGGTCGCCAAAACTCTATGAAAATCGTAAAAAATTGCGAGTACGGAAAAAACCGTAGTCGCCTAAAACTCATGAAAATCGTAAAAAAAACTCTATGAAATCATATCTTTTATACAAGATAGAAAAAATAAAATTAACGCTAGTTTTTTTAAAATATTTTTTTTTATTTTGTATGTAAGAACAGGAAATGACAAACACTGAGTTTGAAACAGTTAAAAAGATAGACAATAACACCAAAGTGGTTAGAATAGGGGATTTAAACGTAAGATACTCAAAGAAATACAACAAATATTCTTTGTCAGACATTTTAACACTATCTGAAAAGAAAACATCCCACGACTGGGTTAGAAATGCTTCTACTCAGAAAATTTTGACAAGAAATCCTGAGCTTATGATATCGGTAAGATTCTATGGAACAAGAACATATCTCATCGACAAAAGTCTTATACCAATAGTTTTGTTCTGGATTGACCCAGTTGTTGGATATAATTTCATAACATATGGTTCATTCGATACTGAACGTTGCAGTGAAGGCTTACTTTATATCGTTCAGAAACCGAAGGACTTCAACACAAAAAGATATAAGATAGGAAGAACATATAATATAACTCTAAGATATGACAGTACAGTCAATAGAGTCAGGGTTGTGTTTGTTAACGATATGAGAGCTGCTGAAACAGAACTACTTGAAAAGTTTGAGAAAATGTATGGTGCTCCCACGAAAGGTAAAGAAACGTTTGAAGTAGATGAGATAGATAAAGCTATAAAATTATTTGACGAAGTTGCTGAAAAATACATGTAAAGCGTTTATTTTTGGTCTTTTGTGAAAGTCAGAAAATAACGCTAGTTTTTTATAAAATATTTTTTTATCCGGAATGTAAAGACAGATATGTCAACAACAGAGAACACAACAACAGTTATAGTCCATGAAGCTATAAATGAAGAATATGATACATACAGTTTAACAAACAGTTACGTCTCATTCGTTCGGTCAAAGATGACATGTACCAAATGCAAAGTATTTTGAATGCTCTTCGTTCTACAAAGCAAGCACATCATTGGTTTGAAAACCAACAGACAAAAGAACTTTTAGAAGAATTTCCTCATATGTTTGCGACCCGCGGAATTCCGCGGGTCGAGATTCCGTACGAAAATCGTCAAAATTTGCCAAATGGTTTGAGAGGTTGGTATGTACATAGACTTCTCGTAAATGCTGTTGCAATGTGGGCTTCACCTCGCTATGCTTGTTATATTTTCATGATGTTAGATGAACTTCATAGACAAGAACGTGAAGAGCTAGAGAACAAGCTTGAAGCAAAAGACAAAAACATACAGAAAAGAATACCACGTTCGGTACCAAAAGGAAAGGAAAAGAACTATAAGTATATGATTTACACTGAAGAGATGGAAAATGAAGAAGACAGAGATATGGTTATGTTGCATTTAGTCAGAAGAAACAACAAAAGCTTTTACGACCTTGCTAAGATTTACAAATCTGACAGAAATTGGTTCTATCGCGAAAACTTACCGATTTCAATGACACCGAATGAAGATGTGAAACAAATAGTTCAAGATACTTTACCTCAAACACACTATGATATGAAAGGTTGTACAATACTTACATTCAAAGAAGATTTGCCATTGTTAAAGGAAAAAATAACAGAGTATTTTGACAACTTCAAACAAGCAGAGTAAATTGCACTCTTTATTTTTACGCTTGACTTCAGATGGCTCAGGTAGGTAAATTGCCTCGTCAAATCCTTCTGGCATTCCGAGTCCTTCCATCCGACTGGAAAAAAATTTCCCGACAACAGGAAAAAAAATTCCTTCCGACAGGAAAAAATTTTCCAGTTGTCCGTCCGTAAACCATTCAAATTTTCGAAAATTGAGAACTTTTTTCCCGACAACTGGAAAAATTTTTCCCGACAACTGGAAAAAAATTTCCCGACAACTGGAAAAATTTTTCCCGACAACTGGAAAAGTTCTTCCTTCCGACAGGACACAAACGGATGACTGACGTTCCTCTTCCTGAATGTCTTCCAAAGCCAGAAGAACCGAAAGCTGCAGCACCACAACAGACTAAGACTAAACTCTTTATTTTTTACGCTTGACTTTTTACAATTTGAACTTTGTTTGCGTAGATATGAATTCTGAAAGAAGTATGAGGGTCTTGTATGACTTTGTACTTCTCCCATAGTTCATGTCTGTCAAACTTACCTGCCATGGACTCTTTCATAAGTTCCATGAAATCGTCTTCGGACAATCCAGGGAAAAGTATGATATCAGTAAGTATTCTTTTAACATCCTTACTTAAACTCTTTGCTGTCTGTACACAAATGACAACTGAGATGTTAAAGTGTCTGAGCTTCTTAAGAATTCGACACATGTCTTGTTCTCTATTCTTTAACAAAGGATGAGAAGCAAAGTCATCTAAGATAAGAAGACATCTATGAGGGTAAGTCTTCCAATCGTAAGATTGCAATTTCTTCGAAATGTATTCTATCTCTTTCTTTGTTTCTGAAGTGTTTCTTCTCTAATATTCTCTGCATTTCCTCATTTGGGTCTTTAAACTTCGAATTTATATACTCATTTATAGCATTGTACTTCAAAACTCTTCTTTGGTACTTCTTTATCCAATCTAACAACTCAGAGTCTTTTATACATACTAACTTAGACTTTTTTATAATATCTTTGAACGAATTTACGGTTTGGTCAAATTGACCAGAAGTACTACAAATGACAACTAACTCATAGAATGGGTTCTTCTCATCTATTCTTTGTTGTGCAGCCATTTTAAGATAAGTGAAAGTCTTACCCGACCCAGGTGGTGCGATTAGACCTGTTATACCATTCTGAGCAATAGGAACTTGTCATGTATGGGTTTTATCTGAGCATTTTCTAACTTCCTCTTGTTCTTGTTTAAAACATTCTCAAATTTCTTGTCAATGTCAGCAAACTTTTTTTCTAACATATTTTTAGAAAAATTAAAATTTTTATCTTTTTGAAAATGTCTAGCGATTTCGCTATCTATATTCGAGACAAGCTTTTTGACTCTAAAACTTCTGTCGACCATAAAATCTTACATAGTGTAAACAAGAAAGGTGAATTTGTTCTAAAGTTCTGTTTCTGGGAATATGACAAGAACCATAAAACATTACAAAGAGCAGTCTTAAAATTTGTCAATGACAGACTTGTTGACAGAGATGACGCCGATTGGAAAGATGAAGTCCAACAAAAGTTCTTAGAATGCAAAGAAGACACATGCGCTGTTCTTGAAGATGAAATAGAAACAGAATAGAAGAGCTATTAAAGGACAAAGAACTTTTACATAAATATGGTTGCGCCAAATTTGACATAACTCCACCAGAGAAGAAGAAGAAGAGAAAAGAAAGAAAAGAAAGTAGAAGAAAAGAAAGTAGAGAAGAGAAGAAAGAACCAGAGCCAGTTCCAGAGAAAAAGAAATTTGACATGTAAAAATAAAATTTTATTTTTAGAACATTTCTGGGTCAATGTCAATGTTCTCTTCCTCTTTCGGAGCAAACACTGGCTTAGACTCTAAAATCTTTTTACCCAATTTACCTTGAACTTCAACTATCTTAGACTCATAATATTCATAGTCGTCTGCTTTCTTTGGTTCATAAGGTATAACAAGTTTGTATGCTTTGCCTTCTTTAAGGTTTGAGAACCTTCTGTCAAAATTTTCTTTGACTGCTAACAAACCTTCTATGTCTAAGTCTTCAAATTTCGCACCATTTTTAGTCACAATAGCAAACTTAACTGGTTCGATGTTCCAAACTTTGTCAAATGTAGACTTTTCAAAATGGTAGAAGTAAACATTCAAATAAGCGAATGGGTCTAGTTCTTCTTTGACTTCTGTCATGTACTTATTTACTGAAATATATTTCGTCATCTTTTCTATCGGATAAAAAAATATTTTTTTAAAATTTACTCAGAAAAATTTTTCTTTGTATATACACCATTCTGAACATCTAAAAGATTTTTGACATTTGCCAAGAATGTTCGTTTAGACGCTGTCATATAACCATACTCTTGACAATATTGTTTATATTCATCGTACAACGACCTTTCATCTAAACACTCAAAGTCGTTTTCATCTATAAACAGTTCATATACACTCTTGTTTGCTTCTAACAATGTTTGTCTTTCTTCGGTATGTGGAATTTGTCTTGGATTGAACTTAGAAATATCTAATGTCATAAAATATGAGAACAAGTGGTTGTAAAAGTCAGATGTCAAAGTTTCTGCTAAGTCGTCAAAATATTCTGTATCTTGCATATGAGAATCTGACGTTCTGACAACTACATATCTTCTGTCAGAACTTTCTAACTTCATCGGAACAGCATTGTTTGAAACCATGACGAAGTTTGCAACATTTTCACAAACTCTTTGGTCTTTATATTTTCTTTCAACAACTCCAACTTTGTCTGTTATAAGACTCTTCAAAGCATCTGAGTTCAAAACTTTTGTTGTATCTATACTTTGAAGTTCGTTACATACTATAAGTTTCATATTCTCTATTGAAGAGTTAAATTTACCGCAGATGTTTTCTAAGTTTGTCATATTCGGATTCGAATAGCCCTCTAACAGTTTGCACAAAATATCTGTAAAGAAAGTATTCTTACCAGTTCCTTGTTTTCCAATTATAATGAGAGCAGTTTCATTTTTAGCACTTGGATGTTGTAAGATGTTTGCAAACCAACATAAGATATACTCATAGACTCTTTCGTTTCCATTGCATATAATTTCTTTGACATGGTCTAACCAAGCTTCTATAACATTTTCTTTCCATTCTACTTGTTCGTATTTATATCCAGTGAAGATAGAATAGAAGTTTGGAGAAGGTGTATAGAACTTTATACCTCGAACTGAAAAATCTTCTAACTTGACAATAAGATATCCCAAGCATCTAACATCTTCATGCCAACTTGTACGACTTTTATTTTCTTAAGTTTCTGTCTACATTCTTGTTCTGAAACTATTGTCGCTCTTGGTTTGTTAAAGACAACATCCCATTCTTTCATGACATAACATTCTGGGGCAGAGTCGACATAAATGACTAAACGTTTCAAATTCTCGACTGCTTTGTTATAGTCTCGAAATGGACACATATTTCTGAACGCTTGGAAGTCATAAAAATCTGAAACATCTATTCTGTACATTTTTATAAAAATAAAAAAAATATTTTTTTTATTCTTGAGCTATTTGTTGCATTTGTTGTTCTTGAGCTATTTGTTGTGAAGTTGTTCTTGTAATACAATACTTTCACCAGTTGCATCTTCCAATTCGAAACTTTCTGCCGTCATTGACAAATACATAGGACATAAAAGTTTTACAGGAACAAAGTTTGCGTCAACTAAGGTTAAGTTTATGTTTGCTAAAGTGTTTGAGTTTACTAAAGCTGAAAACTCTGCATTCGAATGAACAATAGGCAAACCAGCAGAGAAAGTGTTGTTTATACGCATGAGTATCTTTTGGTCATAGTAGTTTCTGTCGACATTCGAATAGCACTTTGAACCTAAGTTTGAAACAATATATAAAATAGGTGTACTTAAAGTCAATGGAACAGACAAACCTTGTATGACACCCCTGTTATAGGAAACTGTTGGTAGTAAAAACCAGATATAAGTTTTGTATTATAGCTCATATCGTTTATACTAAACTCAGTCGGACATCCAAACATAATGAAACCTGCTCTAGTTGCAGCACATGTTACATCCGTCCTTAAAGTATTAAATAAGTCAACAAAACCTGTTGGTGGTATATCTGAGTAAGTATCTTCAAAGAAGTATTTTTTACCATTCACAACAACAAAGTCTTCTGGTGTCAAAAGAGCAAAACAGGCTTTAGTCGTCATCGTGTTTAAGGTCAGTTTACAATATCGTCCTTGAGGACTTTGTAAGTTTGTTGTTATAGAATTATATGACTCAGGGTTTTTAGTCGTAATAGTATAAACCACTATGTCTTCTGCCATTTACTTAGCAACTAAATTTTAATGAAATGTTGTGGTCGTCAAATATTTTTATGACGTCTGGGAAACTATATTTTAAGTTCAACGTTTCACCTCCTTTCATAACGTATATCTTGTCAATGACATTATATGAAACACCACAGCAAGCAATGTCGGGTTCTATTTCTTTGATGTTTATATCGTCTGCCTCTGTCAAAAGTTTCAATAGTTCTTTCAAAACTTCACGAGGTGCGATGACATATGAGTTCACTTTTACAGGGTTGTGCTCAACCAAGTTTAACATTATACCCAAAGCTGACAAATCTTCTCCTGAGTTTTAAGTTTGTCTTTAAGTTGTTGGTAGTCATTTCGAATATCTGCAACAGAACTTAAGTCTCTGCTAACTTCGGGATATGTTGGTTGTTCTTTTACAGGAACTATTGTTTATACCATCTTCTTCTTCGTATGGTTTCCCCACTTCAACATCTCTTTCTTTGACATTGACAACAACACTTTGACTGTTTGTTTGAGTTGGTGAATTTAACTTCACATCTGCCACCGCCATTAAACCTTTTGAAACACTTACGCTTCTATTTTTCGGAAATGACATTTTACTTAGAATAAAAAGATGGACGTATTCGGATATCTTATTGAATTGAAGCAGAACAAAGTTTATACTCACAAACAATACAAGTTCATTGACAGAATAGTTCTTTACACAAACAATGGAAAATGTTATAGAATAGCAATATTTGCTGAACCAAAATATTTTCATAAAGCAAAGAAAGTTGGTATAACTGAAATGGTGAAAGTTCTTGAAGCAGACAAAAATATAACAACAAAACTTACAGATATTTCTAAAGGTAAGTTTATCTTACAATTTTATGTCAAAACTGGCGTACTGTCAATATTTGACGGAGAGAAGTCAGTTCAAGAACAACTTACTGACCTGCTGCCAAAATCTGCTCGATGGAAGCTGTCGTTATACCAATCTGAGGAGCCCAGCAGGTTTCATCGAACGAATCTTCAAAAGAGCATCTTCCGTGAAAAGTGCTATTGGTTTTGTAAACTTCTTTGCTTTCAATTCATCTGGACCGTCTCTGTCACCAGTATATTGTATTTGAACTGTACCAACAGTTGAAATACCACCCATAAAGTCTTCTGAGTCAGCAAATGGAATGCCAAGCCAAAAGTTTGAACGGTCTCCATTTGTATATTGAGTTTTTTGAGCTCCTGTATGGGTCCATACTTTCACATATGGCATAATAGAACTTTGCATTTCAGGGTTAATGGTTGTTGTGAAGTTGTTGTTAAAGTTCATAGCATCTAATGTCAAGTTGTATGACCTCATATCCTCAACTGTAGAATATTCTTCTCTTGGATAATATTTGCCATCTATGTTTATATGGTATTTAATACCAGGGTTGTAGAAGCAAGAATAGTCATTTATAGTTCGTCTGAACAGTACAAACATAGTATCTGCATGTTTCATTGCAGTTGTTAAGGCAATATCTGTTCTTGCACCTGGGTCAGCACTTTGGTTTCCAACTTCACCTGCAAAGTCTTTGACAGATATTTGGTGTATAGGAACATAAGTGGAACTGCAATATATTTGGCAGCTAAAGCATTTGAAATATCTGGTCCAACATATAGACTGCAAGTCTGCTTTCTATTCTCTTGCATTCAAATTTTTCGCATGTGAACTTAACTGGGTCCCAAGCATCTCCAGCAGCATTGAAATAATAGTTTACTTCAGTGTTGAGGTTTGAGAAACCAAAGTCTAAGTCAACTTTGTTTTTGCAAAAGTCGGCGAATGACATTTTATTTGTTCCCACTACTTCTGTAAGAGTGAATGGGTCTTGTGTTGGTGCAATGACTAAGTTATTTTTGCTTGGGGTGAGTTCGATAGAAATTTTTCCTGCCCAGTTTGGCAAGTATCTTAAAAACCTGAAGATGAGGAAAGATGACAAAGGAACTCTAAGTTTCAGTTTTACTTTGGTTACTGCTGCTGCAGTTTGTCCAGAAAGGTTAACATAAACTCCTGGAACGTTAGGGTCAAGTCTTCTTATTTTCTCAATGGTGGCATACTGTCTGTTTGTTCTCTAGCTTGTGGTTGTACTGAGTTTCTCAAAGCGAACCATTCATAGTTTGCCCATGTTACTGTTTGAACTAAGTCAGAGTTAGAATATATCTTATATCCCATGAAAACTTCTGGAGCATATTGGTATCCGACATAGAAAATTCCATTGCAACCTTTCTTGTCAGACAACTTGGCAGAAGGTTTTATTTCAATGTCTTGTTCCACGTATAAGAAAGAGTTGTCAATAGAAATTATATGAAACCTGTCGCAAGCAATATCTACTGTTGTTGAAGAACCTTCTCCAAACTCACCTACGTTTCCATAAGAAACAGCAGTTGTATATTCGTAAGTTCCAGGAACTATTTCTGACCTTCTAATGGCATTGTCACATTCGTTATACCATTCGGAAACATTTCCATTCATAGCATCCAAAACTGTTGGCGTTATATTCTGAGCGGCGTACATTTCATATGAGTAAAAATATAGAATAGTTGGATTTATATGTCATAATAGAACCCACGTGGACCAAGCTTTACTTTCTTCCTGACTGAGTTTTTAACTCTTCTTTTTCCTTCATTGCCCTCTGCTTGAAGTTGTTGCATCTTTGCATTATGTTCATCTAGTATGTTGCAAATTTCCCATGTCCTTTTTGCCTTTTGGCTCTGGTCGCCCATCTCAGGTAACCTATATCCTAGAAAGATTTTGTCATAGTTTGTATTTGAGTCTTCCTTTATTGTTTGCATGACTCTTTCCTGAGTTTCAGGTTCAAGCTCTTCAAACAGTGCCTGTCCATATGGAATAAGCTCGTTTCCAAATATATGTTTTTGTAGCCATTCTGGTTTTCTTTCCATGTTACCAACAATATCTTTTGTGAATGGGAAAGCTTTTACCCAATCTTTCAGTCTTGCGTCATTTATTTCTGTAGTTGGTTTTATTTTGTCAAGGAACATGTTTTTCAATACTAACATTTCATTTGGTACTGTCCATTTGAGTTTTCTTAAATATTCATCCCTTCTCAGTTCATTGTCTGCAAAGTAAGTTTTTATGACATTTTGTAAACTTTCGTTTGCAAGGTCATGTACAATAGGTTCTCTTCCTTCGCTCTCCCTAACTTTCTTTCTAAACTCTTCACCAAATATACCATCTCTATGGTTCTGTGTAGTTCTTTGAGATAAATGTTCTAGAACGTCAGGTGTTATATTTCCATCAGCCATGTTCATTTCATACTGGTCCAAAATATCTGCATGTTTCATATCTTTCAATGGCATTAAAGCCGCGCTTAAAATACCAGCTATATCTGGTTCACCATTGACTTCCATTGCGTCTACAACTTCTTGGAATTGAGGTTGTAAGTTTATGAACCACCTATCCGGGTTAGCTTTATGACCCCATCTCATTGTAGTTCCATCGTCTGCAGAAACAAAAGTAGGTTTGTTTCCATCTTGGTTAGGTTCTGAATGAACTTTAAACAATGTTTCATTT